TCCCTCAAATTTGGTCTATTTGGTTAACACCTATCCATTTACTTAATCCCAATTTAACATTGTTAACTTGAAAAAATATTAAAAATTTAAAACTAATCAAGAACCAAAAAGCCAACAACCACCACCATAGCCGCAACAATCAAAGTGCCACACACAGTGGCGGATCCACCATGGGGTCAATGGGGTCAGATGACCTCATGGCAGATCTGGATTTTACTGGAGGGGACTGGTTTTTGCCCTTGGCAGCCATGGAAGTGACCTCATGGAGAAGAAGAAGCTTCGGTGGACAGCTGGGGTTCTTTTTTTTTTCTAAAAAAAAATTGCTCGGCAAAACGACGTCGTTTTGGCCAAAGAATTTTTTTAAATGACCTAGCCAAAATGACGTTGTTTTGGGCTAGGACTTTTTAAATTTTTTTTAGGAAAAAAAAAAAGGGGGCTGCAACTTCTTAACAGTACAGACCCGAAAATAGACCTCCAAAATCCCATTTTTCATATTTCTCCTCAACAACAGCCTTAACCCCAATCTCCCCAAGACCTCCACCACCATCTCCTCCCTTACCACTTCTGAATGATAGCTTGTTGGTTTATATTGAGAGAAATGTTTTTGCTTGTATTGAAAATAAAGCTATAATGCTACATTTTCAAAATATGAAACCTCGTCGTGGACAATTGTAACTTGTAATATTGTTTTTTATATTAATTATGAGTGAAAGTACTATGGTTTCATTCGTCCAAAAAAAAAAAGTACTATTGTTTCATTTTCAATATTTTTTTTTCATCTTAAAAAAATATTGGGTAGTTTACATTATGACCCCATGAGTGGCAATTCCTGCATCCGCCACTGGCCACACACCTAACCCCAACCACCTCACCACACCGGCGGCAACCCTATCTACTCCTCATTTTTTGCCAAAGATCAATCGCCTCATTTTTCTCTCTTTGTTGAAGCCAGATCCAGAATCGAAGATTATAACTCTACAAGTCCCAACACTAAAGAAGTAAGAATCCAGCTTTAAACCCAAGTTTTAAAACGCTGGAAAATAAACTTCCACATATAAAAAAAAAAACCCCATTCTTGCAAGGACAAATATTGATTACTGTGTTGTATTCAAGAACCAACCATCTTTCACGTTCTGCTAGAAAACTAAGAATGAGAAAAAAAAAACCCATATCCAAACTAGCTACAAATATCAAATTGGATGGTGATGCAATCAAATTTAATAGGTAACTGATCTCTTTCAAATTTAATAGGTAACTGATCTCTTACAAAATAAGGTTGGGAAGAATGGGCTGCGTTAGGGGAGGTGGTGGAAGTTTTGTGTTTTTTTTAAAAAAAAATATTATAAAATATAGTTATTTTATTAAAGTATTAGTTTTTAATTAAAAAATATATTAATGTTATATTATTTTAAGAATATTTTAGCAAAAAGAATTTGTTTGAAATAATAATTAAAGGATATTTTAGGAATAATTATGGGTAAAAATATAGGATTGTGTATTTTCAAATTTACATGGCAGGAGAAAAGATAAGTTATGTGGAGAAATAAGACAATGGATGGAAATATCAGCACTTTAGAAAAAATATTCCTCTCATTTAAAAAGTGGGGAGCCATTAGAGGAAGAGAAACCAAAAGTTTTCTTGAAAGAGGCGTTGGATTAATCGTGCATGTTTGGTATTCCAGAGAAAATTAATGAATATTAAACGTAAATCCTTTGTATATTAATTGCATGTTTGATATTGTTTATTTGGGGCTATAAGTGATTATTTTAAAATTTCTAATGATAAAAAAAATCACTTATTGTAAATAATTGCTGTGAGAGAAAGTAGGGATCGCCATTTGGCCCATGGGCTCATGAGCCGATGGGGGCCCACTGGGCACATCGAGAAAAAGCCTAGCATAGCCCGTTATGGGCCATGGGCTGGCCCGACTCGTTAGTTAGTGGGCTAGGCTTGGGCTTAGGTGCTTAAAGCCAAGTCCGGCTCATTTGAGCCCACGAAGGCCTAGCTTAGCCCGCCCATCAAAGCTCGGCCCGTAGGCCCATATTTAATTATATTATATATATAACTTATTTCTTATTATATTTGGTTAATTATTTATATATATAAACTTATTATATTTCCTTCTCTCTTGCTAAAAAATGTGTTTCCTCTCTTTGTAAAAGCACTTCGGATCTCTCTTTTTTTGTTTTTTTTTTTTTTTTTTCTTTTTCGAGCGATACGTGTCCATTTTTTAATTAATATTAGCACAAATCTCAAGCGGGCAAGATACTTCCTTATTTACATTGTAAACTTAAGTAGATGAAGTAATATAAAAATAAAAGGTAAACTACCGAATACCCCCTCTGAACTATCACGCTTGTTGAAATCTCCACCCTGTACTTTTTTGCTTGCCAATTTAGCCCTCATACTAAATTTAACGCCAATTTACTCCTCACCGTTAGTTTTTGGAAATTTCCATCAAAATGCCCGTCAAATATAAGGGTAAATTTGGCATTTTACAAGGTATAATATTATGGAAAATGTAATAAAATCAAACAAAGAAAAAGAAAACCTCCCACCAATTTCTTCTCCCTCATTTCCCAACCACCACCTACATACCACTCCCCTTGCACTTGCAAAAACCAGAATCCCCCTCCCCGCCCGATTTCTTTCTCCATCATACCCCCACAGATCCTCCCTTTTTTTCCAACCCCCCCCCCCAACCCTTCAGAACCCATAACTAGCACCCCTTACCTTTGATTTCTTCTCCCCCCACCCCTACCCCTACAGATTTCTTCTCCCCCCTCATTTCCCAACCACCACTCACAGACCCCTCTGGCCTCCTCCTACCCCCCCACCTACAGAAACTATAATCGCCTCTCCCCTCCCCCCATTTTATTTCTCTCACATTCTAGCTCTGTGAAGAACTAGAGAAAAAAAAATTAATTTTTAATTTAGTAGTGAAGTATATGCTTAACATGGTGCTTTTTAATAGAGATTTGGATGGAGATTGTCAAAAACTAATAGTGACGAGTAAATTGGCGATAAAATTTAGTATGAGGGCTAAATTGGCAAGCAAAAAAGTTCAAGGTAGAGATTTCAACAAGCGTGATAGTTAAGGGGTATTCGACAGTTTACCCAAAAATAAATGAAAGTAAAAGGCCAAAAACATTTACTTAAATGCTGAAAATGGAAATAAGGTAAGCTCCTAAGGAAAATAAAATAAAAATTGGAAAAAGCTTGGCTTGTCCCATCTCGTTATTTTCTCTCTCATCTTTGAAGGCCGGCTCGGTCCAAGGCCTGTTAAATGTGGGCGGGGTTGGCTTGGCCCTACTCGGTCCATTGGCGATGCTAAGAGAAAGCAATTAGGGAAAGCAACTAATAAGCTGCTTTCATTTTTTTGATTATGCGGTAATCAAGTCAGTTTTGAGAGGTGCTGGACTTTAATGAAAATTTTAGAATTCCAAAAATAACCCCATATATTTCACTCTCATGTCTCTCTTCTCCTCATTTCAGTCTTTTCCTTCCCATTGCTCTCTTCCACATTCATCAAAGCTCCCCCTTCTCTGTCTCTTCCATTCGTTCTTTAATTTTTCTTGTTGGATCAATTGAAGCCTTCTTTAAAGCTAAAAGACTCATGTAAGAGACATATTAGGTTTATTTTTCTTTTCAATTTCCTTTTTCTCAATTAGGGGTAAGGAAGTTCACTTATTATGGTACAATTTAAAAATCGAACTAATATGATAACAACGATCGGCAAGATTATTATTATCCTTCTTCTTGTAAACTCTAGAAATACCGATATCATAGTCACTCATTCTCTGGAGAAACCCTAAAAATAGACCTTGTGATCTTCCTTGAGATTACTGATTCAGCAATTACAACTGGAAGACGGAATGATTGTAAAGGAGTGAGATAAAGCAGCCATGACTCGTTCCCTTTGTTACCATCTTATTGATGAAGAAGAATCTTTAGAAATGGAATGGTAAAGGTTTTTTCGTTGAACAAATGCTTTTCTTAAAGGTGACTCAAAAACCAATATGGACCCCATAATTTGATTATTTAAATAGACAATTCCTTGTTCATACTTGTTAAAAACCAAATTCTTATTTTTTATTAGAGAAGACTTGAGAGAGTGAAACCCAACCCATTTCATTTTATACTACAAAGATAACAATAGCTTGAGTAAAAAGAAAAAAAAAATGATGCTTTTTAATTAGATGCTCCATTTCAAACCATAGACTAGTCCCCTAAATAATTTCATTATTTAAGCAGAGAGTTTTAAACACTTGAATAGAAGAGTTATTTCACCATAATGTTCTTTTTAGTCATTATATACAGCTTACAACACTTTCACACAAAATTTACCAAATACTCAAAAATTGATTATTGTACCAATATCACTTTTAACAAAAAGTTTCCCAAACACCAAACTAGTTTATTTGATAATTGATTTCTCTCACAGCAAATCTGACAACGATTATTTTCACAGCACAACAATGCCAAACTGGGCCTAAAGAATTTGCATTCATTTTTAGTTGGAATGTTAATGTTAGGAAAATATTGGAAATAAAAGCCTAAATCGTTATATATAAAAATTTGTTGGGGCCCATGGCTGTCGCCCTCTAAGCCCAGGCCCAAAGCCAGCCCTATATATATAAAGTTGATTTCATAGAACTTGATAAAAAGATTTTCGAGCGTTTAAAAAGATTTTGTTTAAATGCCAGATTTCATAAAACTTGATGGAACTTTAGAATTCGTATAGAACATGATAGACTTTCAGAAGACTTTTATATAATTTTTTTAATAAACTTTCTTAAGATTACACTGATGTTAATTGAACAGCATGAAATAAAATTTTAAACAATATGAAATAAAAAACCAAATTTATAACATCTTTTCATTTAATAACATGAAATAAAATCATGTTTAACGAAAAGCAAAATTCATAAAAAACATAGTGACAAATGTATTACAAATTTGAAAGAAAAGATTAAGGAAAATATCTAACATTCATTCATTATCCTTGATTCTCATTGTTGTCATTATGCCCAGCATCTCTCCACATATCCAAAGCTATACCAACTCTCCATTCATTAGCATTATGTCGTTGCTGCTCTTGTATTTGGAAAACTAGTTTAGGATCTCCTTCATTAACGGGTAACGATGAAGATGAAGAAGATTCGTTCTCTAAATCAACAGGAAATCTGTCAGATCTATACTCTTTTAGAAGAAAGTTGTGTAGTCCGACACAAGCTAACACTATATCTGTTTGTGTCGTATATGGGAATGGAGGTGCTGACTTGAAAATTATAAATCGTGACTTAAATATACCAAATATCCTCTCAATGACATTCCTCAAGGATGAATGACGAAGATTGAACAACTTAACTTCATTTGCAAGTGCACGACCTTGACCACCAAACTCTTGGAGATGATATCGAACACCTCGAAATGGAGCCAAAAATTGGCGTTGATTTGGAAATCCACAATCCACCAAGAAAAATTTACCTGATAATAGATTACACATATGTTAGTATCCAATGTTTGACCTAATGTAAACTATAAATGAAAAATTTTAAAAATTACAAATTTATAAATAAGCCCAATCCTAGACATGTATTTATAAAAAAATCCAAGCACTATTTAAACATAGAAACACACCCAAAATCAACCCCAAAATCAACAATTGTATATTTTTTGGGTGTGTTTATAAATGGGTTTTGAGTGTGTGTAATGATGGGTTTTGGGTGTGTTTATAAAGTGTTTTGGGTGTTGGGTTTTTTTTTATAATTTCAGCTCCCATTTTGGGTGTTTTAGTGAAACTCCCTTTAAAAATACCTTGTGGCACTTTAAGTCCATTCCTCCTTATTAAAGCATCTTGTAGTACTCTTGAATTGTGAGCTGAGCCCTCCTACCCACTAAGGACATATATGAATTCCAAATCAAAGTTACAAGCTGCTAAGACATTTTGTGATATCGTACCGTGATGAAAAATCATGGACCCTAGTAACAAAGCATAAACCCTAACCCCAAGCATAACCCTAATTAAAAGTAAAACCTGTAACCCCAAACTATACCCTAATAACAAGAAAAACACGATGAAGAAAAATCATGGAAAAAGAAAATCCAACGAGGTATTGATCAAAGAAAAAATAAGGAGAATACCTTCACAGATGGAGGAAGGAGGCTGTTTGTCTTCTATTGAAGAGAGAAAAGTTAGGGCGAGAGAAAAACGTTTGATGAACTACTTGGGGGGGGGGGGATACATAAACGTGCCCTTAAAGTTTGTATAAATCCAAATTGAATACACCCGAATTTTAAAAATCTTTTTAAACGCTTTATAATCCTAATTGAATACACCCCCTTAGATAACACAATTTTGTTCATTTGAAAAATTGTGTAAGTAGTTTTTTAAAAAAAAAAAAAAAAAAAAAAAAAAAAAATCAAATAATAATTAATTCATTAACTTCAACGGTAAACAATCAAAGACAATCAAACACAAGAAATCTAAAATACCAATCCGAAAAGAGCAACAAACTAACATGCTAAAATCAAAACTAACGCGGACAAAAGCCGCAGTAAAACTACTAGCCCACATCACCACAATTAGTCATAAGCCCAAACAAAGCCAACAAAGCCAACATAACCAAAATACTAAATCAATCCATGAGCCTAAACGAACCCTACCACTACCACCTGAAGAAGCATCGTCGCAACTACATCGACAACTGCATCCGTAACATATCTAGGGAAAATATGATTTCCAACGATCTATTTGCACATAAGAGCGAACAAATAAACGAAAACAACAATTTTGCCAAGAACAATTAGGTGATTTGCGGCAACCTCCGTAAAAAAGATGTAGAATCAAATTTAAAGAACATGAGTGGCGTTAGGGAGCGGGTTTTGAGAGTAGGATTTGATTGAGAACATAAACTAAAAGGAGTGATAAAGAACTTCAATTTGACCATGGCTCAGAAGTAATCACCATAAGAGGATTTTTATTCAAAACGCTCTAGTGGACTTATTCACTAACTTAAAAGGAAAAGACGAGAAGAGAAGAGGAGGAGGATGGACAGTGACATTTCAACCTCCTCCCCCTCTCTGGAATTTTCCTTTAGGACTCCTAGAGGAAGAGAGCGGCTAAGGTTTTTGTGCAATTAGTTGAACAAAATAGAATTTGTTATGTACAAAGATATTTTAGTAATCAAATTGGTTTTGATTCTAATTCTTCACAATAATAATTGGTTTTGATGCGAATCATTTTATTTTCATTTAGATTTCAGCAGTTGGTAAACAGTTTAATTGGTATGCATATGACTGACTCTATTTCCTAATTAATCCGATTACTCGTTAGTCCAATTACTAAACATGCCCTTATACACCCAAACCTATATAAGAGAAAAATGGGTCCCACAAAGGGCAAGGCCAACGAACGAAGCTCCATGCCTAGTGTATAAACATGGAAGGAACTACTCTTTGTTATGCTCCCCCACAATAGTCACCGACCCTATATAAGCCTCCGCACCGCAACCTCTTCCCCTCTTTTTTCCTTCAAATTGTCGCTCGTGAATTTTATTTTTCTCGACTACAAAATCCTTTTGATTCTCGCATAAAATTGGTTCTTAAAATAACAGAGGGAGAAGAGCAAAAAGTCACCATCCCTTTTGTTTTTCTATATCTTCTCCACCTCCACAAAACAAAAAACAAAAAAAAAAAAAAAAAAAAAAAAAAAAAAAAAAAAAACCTAAATTAAATAAAATAAATAAATTTTCTTTTTTGGGTTCCGCCTTTGCTCAATTCTATCTCTCTCTGCTGCTCCTTCGACCCCTCTCTCTCTCTCTCTCTCTCTCTCTTTTTCTCTCTTTCTTCCTCTCTCTCTAGAATCTCAGAGCTTCCGTTGGCCATTGTGAATAAGCTCTGGTCTTCGTTGCAGGTTCGTATTACTATTCGATCTATACGATGTCCTTTACGAGATTCCGTTTTGTATTTCTTCTTTAATTTTTATTTTCGCCGCTGTGTTTCAATAGGGTTTCTATTTGATCGCGTTTAAAGGTGATTGATTATCCGCGATCTTAGTTCTATTGGTTCAGATTATTGTGGGTTTATATTGGGCTTGAGTTTCCTGCAATTGGGTTCATCAAAATGGTTCTGACTTTTTAGGGTTTTTGATTAAAGAATTTTTTGCTTTCAATCTGTTTGGTTTTAATTCAGCTTGGTTTCTTCAAGTATTTGAAGTTCCGTTTTAGGGTTTATTGATATTTGGTTTTTCTGATGTGGGTTTTTGGTTTAGGGAATGGTAACTCATAAGCTGTTTGGTTCCAGAGAAAATCATGGAAAAAAACTTGAAATTAAGTTTCTTATTTCTTGCGTTCTATGTCGTTTTGAGTCTTGATTGCTGTAGAACTGTCATGATCTTAGCTAATTAGTCAGTGGAGTTGAGAATTTTGTTCAGTCAGGTCCCAATTAAATAATGTATTATTATTATAAATTTTACGGTCTTCTCCTTGCATTTACTAGCAACCAGTCCGGACAGAAGGGTTTTTCAATTTGTCAATTTTAATTACAATTTACCCCTGAAATCAAAAAGTTGTGATGCATGTATCTTTGGGATGTAATCGACATTTTATTTTTGGGTTTTTAGCATTATTGTGTGATTTGGTACCAGGAAAATGGCTTGTAGTGTGCACATTCTTTTTTTCTTGTGATTGGGGGTTGAAATCCTAATGTTGATAAATTTTTTGTTGGCGGGTTGTTTTTCTTATCTAGTGAGCAAGGTTGAAGGAGTGTGAGGACAGGAATATTGGAGTGGGAAATGGCTGGGATTTCTAGTGAAGATTCTGGAGTGGGAAGGTCTATGGAGGGGATTTCAAGTGGGCAGCGCTGCCTGTCTGGGGAAGCCTTAGCTGAATGGCGGTCCTCTGAGCAGGTGGAAAATGGAACCCCATCTACTTCGCCCCCTTATTGGGACTCTGACGACGACGACGACGGTGGTATAATTTTTATTCACTATATGCTAAATGCCTTGTTTTGTGTGTTCCTGATTTTTTTTTTTCAATCAAATACCAGGCTTGTGGAACTCAATGCATAAAAAGAATGATATTTACTTGGATTTGGATTGTGTGAAATGTAGCTGCCAATGTTTTATGGTTTCTCTACAAGTGATTTTGCTATTTTCTTTCAAATACATTTGCCTTGGTCATATTTAAGTTTTTATGCACATGTTGCATCATCAAAAGAGGATATGCCTAACCCTTTTTCTTGAAGTTTGTTAACCTTGTGTGAAAATGTTGTAGAAGTTCTCTTGGGTGTTTATCCAAATCACCTCAAGTGGGAGGTCAATTTGGCTGTCCTAGAGAGACAATGAGAGAGAGAGAGGGATAGAGGGAGAGAGTGTGTGTGTGTGTGTGCTTATTTAATTGATTTACTTACCCCTTAACCACTTTTGCCAATGCTTTGCTTGGTTTGACAAAAAAAGGGCTGGAGAATTTGTTCCATATGAATTTTTAAATATTTGATATTTTCAAAAGTACACCTGTTCCGCTTTATGTTTTCTTTTCTACTTGAAACATGTGAGGTGTGTTATTTTGAAAATAGAGGGGGTTTCAGTTCAGAAATGCTTTTGAGTGCTCGTCTCTGCACGGAATTAGTTTCATACTATGTTATATTTCCCCAAATTACTGATTCTATATGTTGCTTTCATTTTTCCTTTGGTGTATTGCATTTCTGACTTGCCTATCACACCCACATGGAGTGAGAATTTAATCTTCATTTAATCCATTGCAAGAAATAATTTTTACTGTATATTTTCCATATCATCTATACTAGGGAGTGATTTTGCTTTCAAATTTTATTATGATTATTTTGTTAAAAGTTCACAAACCTATCTTACTTCTTTATAGGGCCCAAACCGTCTGAGTTATATGGAAAATATACATGGAAGATAGAGAAATTTTCTCAGATTAACAAAAGAGAACTTCGTAGTAATGCCTTTGAGGTTGGCGGCTACAAATGGTATGAAACTCTGAACATGATTATTTGCCATACAGCATAGATGTTCAGCACAGAAAAAGTTTCTTGTTATGAATTTTGTTTCTTGGTTATGTTTCCATATTCAACCTACATGCTGCAAGTTTATCCATTATGGAATCTGTAAATTTTTATGCATTTGTATCAGCATTTCGCACCAACTGTGTTAGTATATTGAGACTTGTATATTTAGGGTAAAACACATTTTTGGTCACTGTGTTTTGACCTGAAAACACATTTGGTCACTGTGGTTTTAATTTTCCGATTTTAGTCACTGTGTTTGAGTCTGTTAACAATTAAAGTCCAATTTTTAACTTATGTCAAATAGAATGAAAAAAAAATCTGAAAAACATCAAATTGAAAAAAAATTAAAATCCATCAGCCCTTTTGTGCAATGAGTATATTATGTTTTGTATTTTGTACATTACGTTTCCTCTTCCTTATTCTTAATCATGCATGTGATTGATATACTATTTGATTTTAGTCATGGAGGTTCTATTCGAGACCCAAAATTTTATCTTTGGGGGTATGAATAGTCTCCCTTATAATTTCTTTTATATATTATTTATATTAAGTACTCTTTTTAGTTAATAACAGATTCCATTTGCACCCACAAAACAGCATGTAGCAAAAAATGCCTTTCTGAAAGGTTGCACAGGTTTTGTAGTTTGAGAATTATGTATACACGCTTGCAAAAAAGTTCCCCTTTAAGTTTGGTGCCTAATTGCCGATGAACACATATGCCTTGCTTAAACAACCATTTTAAGATGTGAATTTTAAACTTTTTGTTACGTGGCAGGTATATTCTAATCTATCCCCAGGGTTGTGATGTTTGCAATCATCTCTCTTTGTTTCTTTGTGTAGCTAATCATGACAAACTTCTTCCAGGTGTGCTATATTTAATTTGTTGGAGTTCTGATGATCGATTTTCTTGATTTTTTTTATCTTCTTGTGGTGTAATTATAGCATTTATTGTTTGTATGTCTAACAGGTTGGAGTCATTTTGCACAGTTTACAATAGCTGTGGTAAATAAAGATCCTAAGAAGTCGAAATATTCTGGTTGGTTGGTTCATCAATGTTTTAGTTTTAGTGGGCTTTCAATTTTATCCATTACCACTTTTCAGAAAATGCAAATTTTTTGCAGATACATTACATCGATTTTGGAAGAAAGAGCATGACTGGGGGTGGAAAAAATTTATGGAGCTGTCAAAAGTATTAGATGGGTTTATTGATGCTGACACTCTTATAATAAAGGCTCAAGTTCAAGTGATCAGGTGATGGTTGTTTAATGTATAAATTTTTTACTGGAGCACCGATGTTTTATTTCTGACTCCTACATGGGAAAAACTATCATAATTAAGTCTCACAGTGGCCAGATTTTGTTTTACATAAGTTATGGTATTCGATTTAAAGGATACGTTGTAGTTAAGGATAGCACTGCATCTCTGGTGGTGATATTGAAGGGACCCTCTTCTTACTGTATTTTTTATTCTTATTTTTAATATTTATAAATCTGACTTTCTCATCTGTTATGATTTTGAAGGGCACTCTCTTCTGGTGGCCTTTCTTTTATTTATTTTAAATTCCAGCTTTTGATTGCAAAGTTCTTCATTAAAAAATCACACCTTTTGGTTTGGGTGTCTGCATATTGTTTGGGTAACTTTATATGTTACTTTCTGTGTTTTAATTTGCCATGCATTTTAATCGTCTTTGCAAGAATTATATTTCTTTGCTTCTTGGTTTTATAGGGAGAAAGCAGACCGGCCATTCCGCTGTCTTGACTGTCAATATAGGAGAGAACTTGTTAGGGTATACTTGACAAATGTAGAGCAAATCTGTCGTCGTTTTGTGGAGGAGAGAAGAAGCAAACTTGGAAAGTTGATAGAGGATAAAGCTAGATGGACAAGGTATATCTTTGCTTTGGAACTTTCTTATCATGCTACAGCTTAAATAATAAAGTTGAAATGATCACAATTAGGATTGGCTATACAATGCCTTATATTGGGAAGACATGATGTATTGAAAGCTTTCTTTTACAGTTCTTGTGCGGTTCCTATAAATGTGAATTACCATGAATGTAATGGCATTTTTGCTGTATCTTCTGGACTTCCGTTAACATGTTGACTTGGGTGCATGTGTTTGTAATGTAAGCATACAGATGCACATGTATGTATGCATGCATGCATTCTCTTCTGTTTGTACAAATGTTTTTCTTAGCTTACTGGTTAAATATTATCTATTTTATGGTAACATTTCTTTTGATATGGTTGCAGCTTTCGCTCCTTCTGGTTGGGTATTGAACAAAATGCTAGGCGCCGTATGTCCAGGGAGAAGATGGATGCAGTCCTGAAAGTAGTCGTTAAGCATTTTTTCATTGAGAAAGAAGTCACATCTACATTGGTAATGGATTCATTGTATAGTGGTTTGAAGGCTCTTGAAGGCCAAACTAAATCCAAGAAAGGTAGGGTGAAACTATTGGAGGCTGAAGAAATGCCAGCACCAATTGTTCGTGTGGAGAAAGATGCGTTTGTATTGGTGGATGATGTGCTATTGCTACTTGAGAGGGCTGCCATGGAACCATTACCTCCAAAAGATGAGAAGGGTCCTCAAAATCGTACAAAAGTGAGTTGCTAACATCCTATGTTGAGCAGTGAAGTTTGGATTGGTTTTTCTGATGCATTTAAGTCCCTATTGTTGGTTGTGTGGTATAGGGGATTACATCCTTTCTTTTAGATATTACTTGGTGATGTTTGTGCTTATTGATTTAATTGATTTGTCAACTATTCCAGTTTCATTCATGTCAAGGACTTTGGGAATCAGTATTGGGGTACAAAAGATAATCTGAATATAAACTAAGTTCTTGTTAACCTAGTATTTAGGTTTAAAGTTCTGATACCTTTTGAGGAAACAAAGGAAAAATTTCTACCCTTTGTTTTCACAATACTTACTGTGAATTATGCTTCACCTCAATGCTTTTGGATATGTCAATACTTCAAACACTGTTATATTCTCTTTATTAATTTATTAGTTTAGTATATCTTCATGTCTAGTGCCATTGTTCACTGTTCAGTTACTGATTAACTGGTTAACTTACTACGGCCTATGGACTGTATAGTCACCAATAATATGAAGCCCCCGCACCCCTTCTAATGGGAAGTTCCAGCCCTTTGTTTTAGTCAAATTTTGTTCACAAGGGTAAAGATCTATATATTCTGGTGTTTTAGTGATTTAGAAGGATTCTATTAGGACTTTTATTACCTTAATGGGGTGGAAAATTTCTGACTAATTTACTAAATATCCTACTAATTATTGTCGAGGATATGTAATGCATTATCAGTGTGATTGAAAAAGGAGGAGGGCTGAGATACTTAAGGAATTTGATTAGTTTTGCTTGATCTCTGAATAACCATTCTGGTTTTTCTGCAGGATGGAAATTCTGGAGAGGACTTCAACAAAGATTCTATCGAGCGAGATGAAAGACGTCTTACGGAATTGGGTCGTAGGACTGTGGAAATATTTGTGCTTGCCCATATTTTCAGGTATCCTCTTAGCTCAAATATGTGTTTTTCTTGCTTGTATAATTATTGAGTATTGTCCCACGGTATTTCTTGTAATTGCCCTTGGTCTTCTTTTTACTAAATTAGTTGTGAATCCCACTTCATAATATTGCAAATTTGTTTCGCGCAATGTGCAGGGGGAGTTATGGTTAATGAATTATCTGTTTGTGAAATGTGTGGTTGATAATGGATATGGATTCTTAGTATTTTGTTCTTAGCAAACTATCTTTTGTATATTTGCTTCCACAGTAAATGGCATGCCATTTTTTAATCCAGGGATTGTGGTTCCTGGGACTGCACAAAGTGAAATAGGTGGAGTTATGGTCACTAATTTCTTTCATAAATACGTTTTGTGTATGTTGAGTTAGGCTGGTGCCTGGGGAGTGGAATCGAAAATGACATAATTTAGACCATAAGCTACTTTGGATAAGGGATTGTAGGTTCCTGTACTATGACCTGGTCGTCATTTCTCAAGTATTGTAATACTAGAAAAGAGCATTAAGATGTGGTTCTCCATTGTTGGTGAATTAGTATACATACGGTTGAGTATTTTTTCAGTGTCATCAACATTAAAGCTAGAGTTAGCCAGCTTTCTAATGAAGTTAGCCATTTTGTTGTAGTCGTTTGAATGTCACTTTGAGTGATGAATTATCACTTTTTTAGATAATGGTAGATATCTTTAGACCATGCTGCCTTTTAACAGTATGAATGGTTCAACAATGACAATTTGATCATATTTATGCGTCTAATTTTATTAATGGTGTATTCTTTGCCCTTTTTACGTGCAGCAATAAAATTGAAGTTGCCTATCATGAATCTGTTGCATTGAAGAGGCAAGAGGAACTCATCCGTGAGGAAGAGGCAGCATGGCAGGCTGAAAGTGAGCAAAAGGCAAAACGAGGAGCAACTGAAAAGGAAAAGAAGTCAAAGAAAAAACAGGTTTGGTTCGGTTTAGAGTATTATGATATTGCCAACTGGCCTGTTCATGCGATTCAGTAGTTAAGTCTTATGAAATGTTCCCTCAACAGTTATCAGCAGAACGACTGTATTTGTTAATGACATCTTAAGTCCTGTGCTCTCATCTAAACTCACCAAATGGATATTTAAAAAAAGGCAATTCTGTTTTAGAAGAGTTATTTGTAACCTGTTCTATTAGACCTTGGTTGCGAATATTGTATCAGTTATTATGCTTGGATTCTGATCAGAACAATGTATCTTTTGGCTTTATTTTGTTCCTGCAGTGCACTCTCTGATGTTTTACTAAGTATGGGGTGTTTATTTGTTGACTTTGAAAACAATATTGCCACCAGGGATCCCTTTTATACTAGTCTTACTTTCTAATCTCTTATTTTGGTCCTTCAGATAGGTGAAAAACTGAGTTAAGAAAAGCTTTTCCCAGCTTTATGGTGGAAATAGATAAACTAATATTCAAATGCAACATTTCTGTTAATGTTTGTTCAAACTGAAACCACTGCAATGAGGGGAATGGGGTTGGTAGGTTTGAAAGTTTGTCAAAAATGATAATTCCTCATTTTCCCCTTTGATTCCGACAGGCATCCCTTGCTTCTTTTCTACAGGCTAAACAGAAGAGGAATAACCGGAAGGGGAAAGACAAAGGGAGGGAGGAAAGGCCTGATATACCAGTACAAGAGAAACAAGAAGAAGAAAACCCCACTGAGGAAATGAAAGATTACACAAGGGATGAGGAGCAACCGGAGCTTGAAAAGCCAGAAACACTGGATGATGTATCTGATGTGTCTGATTCAGTGGATGGTGTTACTGAAGTACCTCAGCTTGATTCTGAAGACAGAGATGCTGGTCCAATAAATTGGGACACTGACACATCAGAAGTCCATCCTCCCACTGAAGCCAGCAGCAGTGGAATTAGTGGGCTGTCATCTGTGCAAAATGGAGTATCTGAAAGAAAGAGCCCATCTGTGATGGATGATAGTTCCTCAACATGTTCCACAGACTCAGTCCCATCAGTGGTAATGAATGGGCCATATAAGGGGAACTCCTTTTCTAATTACAAAAACCAAAAATCACCTAGCAGGTAAATATAGCTCGCATTTCTTGCTGTGCAACTGTGATCATACAAGGTATTTTATCATTTTCCTGAATTCAAAATTGCAGGGGGAAACATCAGCGTGGCAAGGCAACAAGTGATGGGAATAATTGGCCAAATGAGATGGATAATCAGCCTTCTGGACCTGTAGCTGATGCCGGATTTCTGAATGATGTTTCTGGAAGTAGTAATAAGGTGCGTGAATCTGAGTCTGAGCCTGCTGTTCATTCATTGCAGGATCGGATTAAGTGGCTGGAGCAGCATGTTGTTAAGAAGGTGATAATTTCTTTCCTTATAATTTTTTGTGGTCTTCCATGACTTGAAGATTGCCTTGCTGTTGTTGGCCTTCACCACCTGGACCCTACTGGTTACTTCTTCTATCTCGTATTTCTAACTGTATAATTGGTTCAAAGGTCGTACAGTCCCCAATATTTCCTATTGTATTTGCACAATTGTCATTATTCCTTGCCACCCATACTCTTTAACACATTAGAAAGCTACATTTATCATCATAACTTGCGATTTTGTTAATTTCTTATTTTCCATGAGTGTGACACAACTGTTGTTTGCATTTCATGTTATAGGAGGAAGAAGTTGTTTCACTGCAGAAAAAATTGAGTATCAAGGATCAGGTTGATTTGGAAAGACCGTTGAAAGAGAAGACATCGGCAGTAACATCCTCACCTGGAAGCCCACCTAAAATTGTGCCCTTGACGGGTCAACCGAAGTCAGAGTGCCAGAGTAGTGCTGTTATAGATTCTGTTCCACTTAGGAAGGGATCCTCAATCAGTGCACAGCATACTGATAGAGTGACACCTTTGACTACTACATCCCAGAATAACGGTGTGTCCAAACCTGAGACTCAGAAGGCTGCAACTCCAAAACCAGCTGAAAAAGCCATGGCACAGCAAGTGCCTGTGTTGTCTAGGCCTTCCAGTGCTCCTCTGGTTCCTGGTCCCAGGCCTACTTCTGCTGTTGTGCCTATTGTTCAAACAGCTCCTCTGCTTGCTCGTTCAGTAAGTGCAGCTGGCCGGTTGGGTCCTGACCCATCACCAGCAACTCATAGTTATGTTCCCCAGTCATATAGAAATGCCATTCTGGGTAACCATGTAGCTTCAGGTTCAACTGGTATGACGCATAACTCTCCAACCTCAGGAGTGAACCCATCCCCAGTATACTCACAGTCACCAGCCTTGGTATCTGCCCCAATGTTCTTACCTCAGGGCTCTGAAATGATGGACCCAAGCTCAGTTAAATCAGGTTTTTCGTTTGGGATGGTAACTCGGGATGCGTTGCATAATGGACCCCAATGGATGGAGAGTTCTCAAAGGGAATCGATCAAAGGCATGAATTACGATCCTTCCTCCTTGCTTCATGATCAAAATTTTGACTTCTACAAACCGCCTTTACATAGCAGGCCACAGGAACATTTGTCCACTGAGTTCCCAGCCTGTACATCTGGGCGTCAGACCCAAGGTGTATCGGCTGATGAATTCCCTCACCTTGATATCATCAATGATTTGCTTGATGATGAGCATGGCTTTGGACCTGCTAGAGGAAGCTCAGTCTTCCACCCCTTCAGCAACGGGCCAACCCACTTAAATCGGCAGTTTTCTTACCCCGGTGATTTGGGCATGTCTAGCGACACGGGGTCTGCAACCAGCTCTTGTAGGTTCGAGCGGACACGGAGTTACCAAGATGATGGGTTCCAGAGGGGCTACTCTTTAGGGGGACATTTCGAATCACTTAGGGAATTTACTCCGCAAGCTGGTCCGCCACCTTACGTGAATGGGCAGATTGATGGGTTAATTCCTAACCAGTGGCCGATGGCAAATTCTGATCTATCTGTACTTGGCATGAGGAACACAGAATCTGAGGGCTACCCTTACTACAGTCCTGAATATTCGAACATGGCATGTGGGGTGAATGGGTACACTGTATTCCGGCCTTCAAATGGTCAGTGAAGAGGATGGTTAGTGAAGAGAATGAGCAACGGAACCTACCCACAAATTAGTGGGTTGCTGTCCGTTGTAATAATGTACTTGAGGAAATTGTTGGGTCGTTACATTTGGAGTGAGGTTGTAATCTTTTCAGAAGAAAACATTTTGTAAAGAGTGTTTCTTCCATCCTTTTCATAAGTTAGAAATGAAGCTTTGATTTATCCTGGGGTTTTCATGGTTCATGGCTGTAGCAGGCTTTTTGAAATGTTAACTTATTACTTTTGGCCCATCACCGCTGTGTGGTCACTGTTCTTCTCATGATCTATATGTTTAACTTCTCAAGAAATGCAGAGAAGGTTTTTTTATTGGAGTTCGACACAATCTTTTTTTATTTGATTTCCTACCAGTGTTTTTATGTGTTTTTGGGCATTGGAGAGAGAGAGTCCCATTTGGAGTTTGGATTTGCCTATCGTAATGGATGACTTCAGAATATTCTTCTCACCATACCATGTACGCATATTTGCCCGCTTATGCATAATGGGAACCCCGAAGAGTCAAGTCCCATGAACTTTCCCTATACCGTTAAAACATTAAAACAATTTGGGCAATATTCAGATATCATTAACAATTTGGTGACATAAATAAATCGATGAATTAAGATACGTGAAGGGAAAGAAACACAATTCTTAATCCTCAAAGACCCGTAACATTATAGTATATCCCATACTTCAAATAATCAATATTATACGAGCGTCGCTATTTGGACCATATTTACTGATCACATTACAGATCACATCTCTAATATAGTTGAATCCTACACACATTGATGGGCCGTTAATAAATATGGTATAAATAACATTATTGATATTACACACATAAAATACCCCTATGAAAAGGAAAGTGGAAAGAAAAACCTTGGGATTAAGTTCAAATCTTTCTCCCTTAAGCTTATTTAATTGCTCACATGACCTATTCAATTTTGTTGAACTCTACTTGGAGACGAAAAGAATGGTTTTAAACAAACCCACCCATTAGTCAACAGTCAAATTCCTCCAAATCACTAATAAAATAATACCAAAGTTCCTCAGAGGTTTCAGCTATAAATACCGTAACTCCGTCATGAAGTTTACGCATACGTTTATATCTTAATATCACTGCACCTAACAAAAATATTATGGGGCTTGTCAACTTTGCTTTGGCTGCGCTGCTGCTTCTGTGTCTTCTGCATGTACAACCCAACAAAGCTGGCAGAATTCTCTATGCTGAAGCGAGGCTTATGAAGCATGAACTTATGAACTTCCAGTCTCTTCCGAGAGGTGATCTGCCTCCTTCCGAGTCTTCCAGGTGCACCTACATCCCCGGTACTGGCGGATCGGGCTGCCCACTCAAGGTCAAGAACTACGCAGGCCATGGCTTGTCTCACCATGCTTCTGCTTATCCCCGTCTCACGGTTCCATTTGGTGTGGCTACAAACCATAAATGATACTGATATCATCAAACACCTGGTGGAGTACCGTGTACGTTACTTCAAATTTTGGAGACTTGAAACTTAAGTTTACTGGTTGAACTTAGAAGAATAATATGATATACAAAATAGTACCCACATAGATTTATTTTCGGTTTTTCTTGTAACAATGTTACAAGTAATTTGTACATTCATTTACTCTGTTCAATACCTTCATTTCTCGGCCTTTGGCTAAGATCAAGTGTAAAAGTTGATTTATTCCTTGCGGAAAAGACCTTATCATCTGTTGGGGTTTTTTACGCCAAAGGCTTTTTACGTACGTAGGCCAAGCTTGTACATCTTTTTCCTTCTTTTCGTTGTATTATATTGGTTGATTATTGAATGAAATCCAGTTATCTTGAATTTTTTTTAAAAACGTAATCCAGTTTTGTGCACTGTGGCCTGACTAATGTAGTTGTGATGATCCATTATACTTTTTGGAATTATAAAAAAAGGTTGGCGGTTTGGCAAGGAGAAAGAAAAATGTGCTCTCAACCTGAACACGCTATATATTTGGCTGGCAGTTTTTCTTTGACTGGCGCTATAGTGATCAAATTTCCAACATATGCGTGCCTTGTTAATAGACAGAGAGGAAACTGGGATATGCTAATTATTTATTATTTTTTAAAACCCTAGAACTATAAACTCTCACTTTAAGGAGAAAGACTTCTATGAAATGGGGATAACACTATTTCCCCGACCAATAACGCTATGATACGAGTGATAACACTTCCACGTGCTATTCCTGTTGCAACTAAAGTTTTTATCTACTTGAAAGGCTTAAGCTTATATAATTTTAAAGTATACGTTTACATTTTCTATACAAATATATTTCAAACTAGTTGTAGACAACAGATTATTTTATTCAACTGGCATATGCGAAGCACTTCCAAGTGTCCATAAACATGAGGCAATTAAACAAATGATGATACGAAGGCCTTTATCTTGGGTATAATTATTTAGACATACATGTGTGTGTTTAGTTTTAATCAATATAAAACAAAAAAAGAACTAAAAGGTGTGTCTTGAAGATCACATGCATCACATTCACAGCTACAAACACATAAACATGGAACAACAATACATAGCTTTTTAATTACTTGTTTTCTTTTTGTGGCCATTTTTCATATCCGCCGTTAATTTGACTAATCCTGTGTGCTGATTTTGAAATCTCAAAAGAAAGATATGGATCATGCGTAGAAGGCGCATGCTACTTGTATTTCTCTATATTTTCTTCCTTATTTATCATGCGGAAATTTTGTGGAACTTACAGCTTCACAAGTTTGACTAATTTCATGGTTAACGGAAATTGATTGATGCATGAATATGTAGTTGATATTTTAAATATTGACTTCAATTTCTTTGGGCTAGAAAAAATGATGCCACAAAGCCTTCCTGTTTCATGAAAATGGAAAATGAAAATGGTGGACATATAGACATTGGTTTTTTGCACATATTGTCAAGTCAACGTTTGATTTGGCCAAGTTTGAACGTGGAACCTTTGCTTTGGACATTATTTCACAGTTTCCATAGTTTCATTCTAACTTCATAATTATCAGGAAAACTAATTTCATCCAAGAAATGGTCACATTTTTTACTTGGGGAGGAGATTTTTTAGTATAAAATAGAGAGAAAATGGATGGACGAAAAAAAATAAGGGAGGGAAAAGGGGATGAGTGATGAACGAGCAACAATTTCCAAAAACAATAGCATTCTTTTGAGTGGCTTTGTCAATGAGGTCTAACCTAGTGACAAAGGGCCTTAACTTGCAAACTAGTGGTCTCAGGTTCGAACCCCCATGACACCTTGATGTGTGTGTAAGAAACTCACCTCCTTTTATAGTTTAGACTATCACTTATATTAAAAAAAATACAAAACTTTTTGTCGATCGTTATATGTCGGTTTTCATTGTTTGACAACAAAAAATATACATTTATTTCTTTACTTATTTAATACAAATTAACGAAACATAAGCATGCATCCACTAGTATTTCTAACAATAATCTGGAAAAAAATATATGCGCGTTTGGATCAAGATGAGCCTAGAACCCCTGCAAAAGAAAAGATAAGCATAAAGCAATAAGGTGTGTTTGATTGACTGCCAAAAGATAAGCATTGACGATATTGACTCAAAGCCAAAAGATAGGAGAGCCTTGATCCTAGTAATTCACATGTTTTAGCTAAGAAAATATCTGTGTGATCAAATGCGAAAACACGTCCTACAATCTTGGAGGTCGTCGGTCGTCAATCTTTCAGAATTTAATTCCACAATCTCCATTTCATTTTCAGGTACGCAATCTGAACAAGACAATTTAAGGCTCTATCTGTCTGTCTAGGCTCTATTGATTGAAGGCTTAAGCAAACTCTACGAATTTTCCCACGCAATATCCGGAACAACATATTAAGGCTAGCAAAAATTGCAGCTTTGATTTTTATATATTTATATATTTTTTTCTTAAGGAGATGATTAATATATTCCACTTCACCTATAAATATAAATATTATTGCTGTGTGTCAGGGTAGCGAAACGAAGATTAACTAAACCCTGACATACAACAAAGCATCCAATTATTGTTGTTTATGGAGTTACTACAGCCGTTTTAACTTTTCAAAAAGCGCAAATTTTTGTGCTAAAGTTTATAATTTTTTATTTTTAGGGACCATCAATTATTGTGTAGCAACATTTAGGTAGACTCTTGCTATCATTTGCCATATGATGATCACTCACTTTGTTGAAAATTTACAAATCATAGTCAAAATGCAAAACCAAAAGTCACTTTTGGTTTCAACCTAACCAAAAGTTAATCTGTTCGTTTGAGACTATTAAATATATAATTTAGAATCTATACCATGGGATCTCAAATTACTTTTAACATTTTCACCGAACAACAATAGGCATCAAAACTTCTCATCCAATTCAATATTTGTGGGGACCAAATCTCACGTATCATGGCTTAACCCATATGCCACAACTAAAAGATGTGGGATGATCGAACTTCCCTCCCACTAGAGAAGTGCGGAGCGAGGGAGACGCAAATCGCTCATCTGATCCCACTACCGTGAAGTGGAGGACGGGATGCGCAAAGCTAGGGAAATGGGGCCAAACCCAAGAACTCAAAGCGCTATAAAAATCCGGCTAGACCTTCAGCCAAGGGACGAGAATTTCAATTGAACACTAAGAGTACGCTGCACAGACACTGACTTGAGCGTTGGAGTGACTTTTGCAGGTACTCACCCTATTTCCACCGTTCAACCTCGGAAACGTAATCCGGAGTTCTCTTTCAACCAAAGAAGAGTGCGGACTTCAGTCAAGAACCTGTGGAGGTATTTCTTCTTGAAAGAAATCCTGCTCCAACAATTGGCGCCGTTTGTGGGAATCATACAAAAAGTCATAATGAGAAGCCATGGATACACTCTTGCCTTAGGAGCTACAATGGGGGCATGAATTAAATCCCCCAATAGAGAAGAATTTCTATACTCTTTTTCCTCTCCCTTCGCGCCTAGAGCTTATATATGAAGAACAAAAGCAAAGCATAAACGGTTTTATGAATGAATGTATCTTTGTCAACTGACCTTTTATAACAAGGGGCGAAGATTGGGAAAATAATTCACAGAAGTCATGAGAAGAGGTTTTTCAAAAGCAAAGATAAGGTTTAATGTGGCCGGCTTGGATATTTGCCTTAGGTTCTAGCAACAAAACCTGGTCTGATATGACCAATCAAAATTATTTCTATCCAACGCATGCGCTTCGACAAAAGACAAATAAGAGCAACATATGTAAGCAATAAGTGATGCAAGGTAATAAGTACACCTACGGAGCTAGGCTTGTTCACCCCCTCACGCAAAGACTAGATCGTGGACCGCTTGGGAGTCGATGAAAACGAAAAGGAGAAACTGAGGGCATATGGAGTCCAAAAGGTCAGCAAAAAAGAAAAAAGAAAAAAAAATAGGCATGGATACCTTGGATCTGTTGAGAAACCGAAAGCGTACGGGTCCGGAAGGACAGCTAAGGGGTTTTGGGGCCCGTGTGGACGGCTTAAGTGCAAGAAAAAAGGTTTTGGGGCCCACGCGAACGGCTCAAGTGCAAAAAAAAAAGAGAAGGAAAAAAAAAGTTCGTGTACACGTTGGATCGGTTGAGAAACCGAAGGCGTACGGGTCCGGAAGGACAATTAAGAGGTTTTGGGGCCTGCGTGGACGGGTCAAGTGCTAGAAAAAAGAGAAGGAAAAAAAAAGAAAAAAAAAGAGAAACCAAAAGACATGGGACTCACCGGATTGGTAAAGGCTCAAAACTAAGCACACCTCAACTGGGGTTGGGATCGGCAAGCAAAGAGAAACCAAGAGACATGGGACCCACTGGATTGGCAAAGGCTCAAAACCAAGCGCACCCTAACTGGGGTTGAGATCGGTTAGCAAAGAGAAATCAATAGGCATGGGACCCACCGGGTTGGCAAAAGCTTAAAACTAGGTGCACCTCAATCCATTTGGGATCGGCTAGGAAAGAGAAATCAAGAGGCATGGGACCCATCGGATCGGCAAAGGCTCAAAACCAAGCGCACCTCAACTGGGGTTGGGATTGGCTAGCAAAGAGAAACCAAGAGGCTTGGGACCCATCGGGTTGGCAAAAGTTTAAAACCAAGTGCACCCCAATCCATTTGGGATCGGCTAGGAAATAGAAACCAAGAGGCATGGGACCCACCGAATCGATAAAAGCTCAAAACCAAGTGTACCCCGACTGGAGTTGGGATCGGCTAGCAAAGAGAAAGCAAGGATCATGGGGCCCACCGGATCGGCAAAAGCTTGAAGCCAAGCGCACTCCAACGGGGGTTGGTTAGCAAAGAGGAAAATGCGCATGGGCCCACCGGATCAGTAGAGGTGCAAAAATTCAAAATAAAGAAAAGGGTCCACTTGTGCATGGGATCGGCTGTCTGCACTTGGATACTTCACATAGGGATAATAGTCCACAGTTGGAACTTGAAAAGTTAGCAACGTGTATGAAAATTCATATTTGAATATTTCACATGCAAGGTGTGAAAGCAACATGCATGTGTCAGTGATAGGCCAATAAGAATCATATTTTTGGGCTTGACCAACAAGCCCAAGGGAAAAAGGTATGGCTTATCTGGGCTCAGCCATGAGCCCATCAAGATGACATGCACTCAATTTGAAGAAATCCTGTTCCAGAGTCCCACTTAGATCATTTTTCCCTCTCCACTCGAGAAGCGTGTAGAGAGGAAAAAAGGGGGGGCACTGTGGGGACAAAATCTCACGTATCATGACTTAACTCATATGCCACAACTAAAAGACGTGGGATGATCAAACTTCCCTCCCACTAGAGAAGTGCGGAGCGAGGGAGACGCAACTTGCTCATCTGATCCCACTACCATGAAGTGGAGGACGGGATGCGCAAAGCTAGGGGAGTGGGGTCAAACCCAAGAACTCGAAGTGCTATAAAAACCCGACTAGACTTCCAGCCAAGGGACGAGAAATTCAATTGAACACTAAGAGTACGTTGCACAGACACTGACATGAGCGTCGGAGTGACTTTTGCAGGTACTCACCCCATTTCCACCGTTCGACCTCGGAAATGTAATCCGGAGTTCTCTTTCAACCAAGGAAGCTTGCGGACTTCAGTCAAGAACCTGTGGAGGTATTTCTTCTTGAAAGAAATCCTGCTTCAACAATATTATTCCTTCTAACTTAGTAAAAATGAAATAACTAAACAAATAGTTTTTTTAATTTTATTTTTAATTTTCCTATAAATCATGCTCTTTATTTACTTGAAAATAATGAATTAAGAGAGTTTCTGTGGGAAAGACTCGTAGTGGTGCTTCTTATTATTCTATCAGCAGCATCAATGTTGGTTGAAGCTGATGAGCACAGCAATGTTCATCGGAATCTCTCCTCACTTGTTCCAAATTCTAGTGCAGACTGCTTTCACGTTCCAAAATTCATTTATACAAAAGTGAAGAATGTTTGCGTTAAAATTGTCAGCAAGGTGAAGATGAAAATTGGAATTACCAAAAATGAAGTTGGCGTTGTAAAAAAAACAAGGGAAGATGTCATGGCCAGAGCTTGTGGGCGAAAAAGGGGAGGTGGTAAGATCCAGGATTAAGGCACACAACCCGTCGTTAAAAGTAATCATAACAATAAAAATACATCCCTCAGTTCCCTACTGGCAATATTAAAAGGGTTCTTGTTCACGTTAATCGCTACGGCACTGTCGACCAGGTACCTCGTAGAGGTTGATTAGGATTAATTCAAAGTGGATTTTGCATATAAGTACAGGAGGACACTCAAACATTTGGGTTTTAAATTAAGGAAATGATTTCAGGGGAGGGAGACCAAACTTGGATGTAAGGGGGCTTGGAGTTATTTCCAATAAATTCTTTCCATTTTTATATTATATATATATATATATAAAAATTTATACAAGTGATAATCTACTCTAAATTAATCTAAATATATTATATATATATATATATAAATTTATACAAGTGATAATTTCGCGTTGTTGATTTACAATAATTTTTTGGTTATTAACATAAGCACAACCTTAAGTTATTTTACAATTAATGCTCAAGAAGGTGTAATATTCAATATCATACAAGACGCAATTTAAAAAAAAACACAATATATATCCATATTTGTTAGCAAAGACACACAAATCCAGTTTGAAATTAATATCCTTGCCTACGCTATCTTAGGCGCTGCAGTGACAACACCTTGCTCATCAATCCAGACACGAACCCTGTCGCGACGGAAATCCATGGTGACGAAGGACCCTTGATTTATTGTGTGGGCTTTGAGCGATGGATTTTCTTTCATTATAGTGGCTACTGCCTCCTCTCCTTTAGTCCCCACCAGCTCTGGCCATGAACTCTTTCCTGCTGCTGCACCTGCATGCAATAACATCAACCAACCCACAAATTAACACATAATTAGCGATGTAGAATTATAGCTTAATTAATGATCCGATCATGATATGAAGGAAGCAAAACAATAGTGATGTGTGGTGGTAAGATGTAGAGAAAATCTCACCAGTGCTTGTGCTACTCGCCATCTTGGTGATGATCACTATTTCTTGGTAAAGAGGTTGTGGGAGGAAACGGGTATTTGAAGTGGGATGGGTTTGGATGTTTTTAGCCTTTGGATTTGTGTGTGGCCGGCGAGGATTTTGGTAGGAGGTCAAGAATTTTTTGTTTTTATTATTATTATTTTAAGAAGATGAATTAATAAATACAAATGAGATGGGTGATTGAGAAATTGTGGTTGATTATTTACCAAAACAGAGAAACCAAGGTGGATTCTCTTTCTTGTGTGTGCACAAGGGATACAAATAAATAATCCAGAAAAAAGTACCCAATCAATGACAAATGGAGCCTTCATCTTTTTTTCTTCAGTTCTCAGTTCTCAATAGGAAAAGGAGGATACGGATGCTTTTAGAATTATATTGGCATTGATAGTACATTAAGAAAAGTCAATGCACATTCTGATTTCAGATTCTCTTTCTCTTTCTTGTTCTGCTAGTCATCTTCTTATTCTAGCTTCTTCTTCTAAAGAGTTATTAAACAATGATCCAGGTTTTCGAGTACAAAGATAAATATATTTAACCTCTTAAATTACAAGATTCTTGTAAGTAGTCTTATGAGAAAATAATGTAACATAAAGCGGATTCTAAATCAACTTTAATAAGAGTACGTACCGTTAACATGGTGATCTCTCTATATCTTAACCTGAAATCACTTCTTTAATTTGCTGTAAATCCAAGTTTTTAAGTGGTCTTCTTGTAATTGAGTCACACACACACTCACTTCCATGCGTATAATACAACATCCATTTTATTTAATGGAAAAACTTGATTCCTTAAAATTAAGGAGGAGCTCCTTATTAACCTCTCTACCGGGGGAAGGTGGTAATGCCAACTTTCCCATTCACCTTGTTGATAATTTTACTACCAGCTTTCTTGATTTTTGTATGAATGATTTTTGGAACGTAAGTCTTCACTGGAGTGAGCAAGAAGTGAAGGGAGATTTAGAGGGGAAAGTGGAGAAACATATTGGACATGGTACTCATCAGCTTTCACCAACACTGATGCTGATAGAAAGCACCATCACCACAACAAGTCTTCCCCTCGCAATCACTTCCATGGCTACACTCTTAATTTCATAAAAGAACCATTTATAGGAAATTAGAAAACTCATTCTCTAGTTAATTCCTTTCTTAAGAAACCGAAAGAATATGTAAATCGAGAGAAGTTTGCATGCCCGTTAAATTTTGTGGAGAATGATTCATACTTGTAACCACTTTTAACTTTGAAAATGTATCACTAAACCAAGAGTTATTGATTCAAATTATATAAATTTTACTTGATATGATTCATTGGACATCTTACTCTCTTTTTCCACCGTCGGAAATATCCAGATATGACACATCTGTTTTTTTGGCTGCATTAATCTTTGATGGTTTTGAACATTCATGTGATTGAGCTTCTTTTTTTTGTTTTTTTGGTAATGCCAACTATACCCTTGAATAAGATTTTTTTTTAATATTTTTTTTTTTTTTTTTTTTTTTTTTTTTTTTTTTTTTTTTTTTTTTAAAATCTTCCCTAAAATTAAAAGCAAGTGGAAAGAGACTATGGGAGGGATGTGGATTATTTTTTTGAACACGGTACTCGTCATCAGCTGCCGCAAACAATGGTGATGATAAAATAATAAGCACCATCACCACAAGCCTCCCCCCTCGAAACCATTTTTATGGCTGCACATGTTACGTACATTCATTATTTTCAAGTAAATAAAAAACACTATTTAAGGCTGCACACGTTACGTACATCCATTCTTGATTTGATTAGGAGCATCTTTTGGTTAAGGTCCCTGTGTTTGCATGTGTTGTTAAGATGTAAAGGCCTTTTTAATTTTATTTATAAATATAAAGAAAAAAGAAAATGTCAAGTGACTTCTGGTTCGGCGTTTTAACTATGGTGAACATGAGTTTCCATTAAATTGATCATATAGAAAGGACTTGTCCATTCATGCATCATCTCAGGCAAAAAAATGAAAACAACATAAGATTACTATGTTTTACTTACACCCCGAAAGAGGATGGTCCAATGTTAGTATGTCAACTCTGATAGCAATACCCTTCATGTGAGAAGCCACTTCAATTAATTTCCTCTCTCATTACAAGCAAATATTGTATGCAGGTTTTGCTTTAACACAAATGATGATCTATATTACTATAAATTAATCTAATTTACAGAAAAGAGGACATTGTATTGGGTTCATTTTTACACATAATTTATCATGTTATTCACTCAATATTTTGAGTTAGTTCTTGACATTTTATAGCATTTTACTTTCTTTTTGTGTTTTCATAGATTTTACCTTGGTTAGAATGAAAATGAGCTAAACTGCATTATTGGTTATTAAGTTTGTTTTTGTTCATTTTCGTAGGTCAACTTCTTAGCCTTGAATCAGCATGCTCCGATGCTCGGATGAGGTGAAGATCTTCATGAAACTTGTTCTAATGGATCTTGACATATCTGAATTTGAGCTCCATTGAACAAGTATAGCCTATTCAACCGATCCAACATTTTACCCTAGCTCTAGAGGTTTGTCTTGGGCTAGTTTTTACCTCCATGATGTCATCTTGATTCTTCTTATTACCACATTATTTGGTAACAAGAACTTACCTTGATGGAGTGCAATTTTCTGAGACAAAGAGCATCTTTGTGAAGACAATGCGTCTAGATTGATTATGTGGAAAACCCATTAAGTTCAATCTAGGTGTGCCTTCCATATTCTCTTTGAACTTAATGGGTTTTCCATATAATTAATTCAAAGTACTAAGCACACCTAGATTGATTATATGGAAGGCACGAGTATTGTAGCACTAGCCCTGCACTCTACTTATATTAGAGAGAATCAATGCGTCTTGAATCACTAGACCTGGTCTTGATTGCAAACATCTTCATTAAGACATTTAGAGTTCATTACTTGAGTGTCTATGAGCATGAGTAAGATTGTTTAGAGTGGATTCCGAAAACCCTAGTGTTTCTCATCATTGTAAGCCACATTTTGATATTCATTTTTGTTAGGCTTGTTAAATTAGAATTGGGTTACTTTTTTGTGTGTTATATGTTTGAAATTGTGAGTGTTCTTTCCACTCAATTGTATTCATTTATGTATTTGTTTTTTACATTTGGCTCACGCTGAGTTCTTCATTTTTCTGTATTGAATCCAACCATATAAAGAACATGAAATTTGGATAAACGGTTGGAGAGTTATAGGTCAAAAATTGGACAGAGGTCGAAGCTGAAAATAGGGGAATTTCCTCTCGGGTTCAAAACGACCGTTCGACTTGTTCATGCGACTGGTCGCCTTCCATCTTGTTTAAACAGGCCACAATCTGCTTCAAAACAATCGGTCATCACTATTCATGCTACCGGTCGTCACTGTTCACTAGGTGATAAACAAGTGATAGAGTAGTGATAAAGGCGTGATAGAAAGGTGATAAAGGGATTATAGAAATTCCTGATTGTGTTTATCTTTGGTTTCTTGTTTTGTTTCATTTCTTTTACTTTTCTTTTCTCATTCCTAGTTTCCAATTTGTATCTTACCTTTGTGTTGTGTTAAATAAGTCTTCTTTTCGTACTCAAACTAGAACTTTTAGTAAGCCGACAGTTCCTCATGGGATCGACCCCATACTTACAAATCTATACCCTAATAGATTCGTGCACTTGCAGATATTTTTAATTGTATGATTAGCACATTAATTTGTGCCAATTATTAATACAACACATCGTCCTCACAAACTGATCTAGTCCATATTTATAAATACCGTATGTAGTTTTATTACACAACGAGGGAGATTTACAAACTCCTCAATTCAACATTTAGAAAGGAACAACAATCACAAATAATCGAAAGTAAAAGGAATAATTATAATGGAAATGCAAGCTCTATCTTAGCTAATTAACCAATTATGGGAGGCCTTGTGACAAGTCGATCATCTTTATCAACCCATACCCAAACCCTGTAGCAATCGTAGTTGGTGATGACATATGTTTCTCCTTCAACCACAATCTTAGCAGTCACAATTGGGTTCTCTCTCTCAATTGTTGCTTTGGCAACCTCCCCCTCCACTCCAACAAGCTCTGGCCACGAACCCTTGCCTGAAAAAAAAAAAAAAATAAATAAAAAATATATATATATATATATATATAGAAATTGGCACATATCTCTGAAAAAACTAAATAGAAAGAAAAGAAACGAAGGAAATTGGCTACTACTTTACCTTCACATTCTGAACCCATCTTTGATTAAATGATTGCTTGCTCTGGTTTAGTCTCTTTGCTTCTCTTCTCTATTTGTATGCTTAAATTTGTGTTAGAGATGAGTACATATACATACATACATATATATATATATATATATATTAGCATTTTGATTGCTTAACGTAGTTGGTCTTGGTAATCGACTCTCATTACGGACTTTTAGCTGTTGCTTCTTAAGATTCAAGTCTTCTAAAACGAAGAAAATTTGACTTTTATGAGTTTTGTTGAATGAGTTTAAATATGCGGCCATTAGATATTCAAGTTCTTCTGCCGTCCAAGACAACCAGGAACTCGAAAGCAATCAGAAATTTCTTCTCTTTTTCGTTTCGGTCACTAGGAAAATTTTGAACAGAAATTTATTAAGGTCGTGACTAAATAATGAATTAAGTAAAAAATACTACTTAATATCTTAATTGTTAATTACACTAATGGTTTCTCAATTATATCTCGATTTGTATTTTGGTCATACTATAGTCCTCATACTCTGTCACAAGTGGCATTTTAGTTCTTCTCGTTCATGGATTAAAAATCAGGATGCCACCTCAACATGGAATGGTTTAAATTACACCCAATGGTCATCTTTAGGCAGGTGGTGTAATGGGAATGTATAAAAAAATTTCTATTTTTAGGAGAAATATTTACATGAAATAGGGATAACACTTTTGCTATTCCCGGCCAATCATGTTATGTAACGCATGTTAATTTTTCCACGTGGCAGTCTGTGATTGGCCAGAAATAGCAAAACAGTGTTATCCTCGTTTCATACAAGTTTTTCTATATCTCTAGACACCCAATAATAAAAACAATTTCAGAAATTTCAAAAATTTCCCATTTAATTAAAAATATTAGAAATGTGGAAAAATAAAAAAATTAATTGCTGGATTGTGTTTGTGTGTTACTAAACAAACAAAACATTCCGTTTGTATTGCATTTGGTTGAATTCATGTTTTGGTTCACATTGGTGTGATCGGCTTCGGCCTTTTATTGAAGGAAATTCGATTCTGACCCAAAAATAAAAAACAAACAAAGCCACTCTACAAACTGAGAAATAAAGCCCAAGGCCCATCACTCGAAGACGGGCCTTCTCTTCTCTCTCTGAACGACCCTTAGAGAGCGGCTCTTCTTCTCCGTCGTCTGCTTCTCTCGCCGCCTCCGCCGCTTCCACCGGTCTCTCCTCTCAATCCGAACCAGGTCAGAATATTTTCTCTCTCTTTCATGTCTTGGATCCTCTCTCTGTGCTTATCATCCGCTAACTCTCGCTCTCATTGCCAACTTGGCAGCCTCTCACTCTCTGATCGCCTTCGTCAAATTGCTCGATTCTCAGGCTTACTCTCGCATCTCAATATCAGGTATATCTCTTCTTCCTCTAATTGCTCTGGATCTGAATTTGATTTAACAAAATTAGGGTTTTTCCTCGAAATTAAAATTTGGGTTTCATGAAATTAATTAGGGACTTCATTTTTAATTGGGCTGTAGGCGGTTTCTGAGGTAAATAGAAAGGCCTAATAAAGGATTTTAGGGTTTACATGTACCTTATGCATGCTTCTGGTTCTGATATTTGATGGAAATTAGTTAGGGCTTTTGCTTATTAATTGGATTGTTTTTAGGTTCTGTTGTTGGGTTGCATGTATTGTTTAGGCTTTGGTGGATGTGATTGTGAATGTTGATTAATTGGGGGATTGGGGCTTTGCTGGAAATTGGGACTTCTGCTGTTTAAGTGGCTGTTTTTAGGTTCTCTGTAGGTGATTAATTTGCTGCTTGCTGTCAGATTATGCATTCTGTGTTGCTGATTAATTGGATTGTTTTTAGGTTCTTTTTTTGGTGTTATGCTATTCAGTTCTTGAATGATGATTAATTGGTTATGTTTCTGCCGCTTCAAGGTTATGTTATCATTGCTGGTTACATTTTGGTGCATAAATAGTAGAATGGTATTTTGCTGGTTATAGTTTGGTTAAACTGCATGTATTGTTTGCTGCTATTAGCTGTACAATTTAGCAAACTTTTTGAGTTTTCTCTCTTATTAGGGTTTTACGAATTGTGGCATATGGGGACTCCAGAAGCAAAGTATGCTGCATTTGAGGAGAAGGTCAAACGAACTGTTTACCTCGATAACATCTCACCACAGGTCACTGAAACTGTTGTGAGAACTGCTCTTTCACAGTTTGGGACTGTGAAAAATGTTCAGTTCATTCGAAATTACTTGGAATCAAGGAACATCCCGCAGTGTGCACTGGTGGAGATGGAAAACCTTAGACAGGCTGATGTTATTGTCTCAGAGTTAGCGCAATTGCCTTTCATGATGTCAGGGATGCCGAGGCCCGTGAGGGCACGTCGTGCTGAAGTGGAGATGTTTGATGATCGCCCTGCAGAGCCTGGAAGAGGGATATTTTGTCGTTGGTTGGAGCCAAATGATCCGGATTTTAAAGTGGCACAAGAACTGAAGCATCTTACTCGAAACCATGCTGCTGAAGCGTCATTTGTGCTCAAGCAACAACTCCAGGAAGAGGAGAATCTTGCAAAGCAGCAGAACGAGGCTCTTCAAGCAAATTATAAGAAGTATGACATGTTAGATAGGGTAATAGCTGATGGGACTGTTCAATGTTTGGCAAGTCATTATAATATACGACAAGCAGATGACTGATAGGTAGACTTTTACTATGTAGGCCGTTCAATGTTTGGCAAGTGTGAAAGAACTTGTTCATTACCGTGACATTCAGATATCCTCGCCTTTTGTTTAAATATGTAGACTTTTACTCACTCTGTGAATAATAATATCTCTGTTTCGTGTAATATTTTGGTTTGTGATGTATTGGCTTTAGAAGAGATGTATATTTATAGTGAATCATAAGATAGCTTGTGGGTTGTCATTATTGACTATTTACATATGTAACGTAGGCTGTTTGCTTTGTTGTTAAGACATTATTGTGATGCAAAATGAAGAATAATAATTTGGTATGCAATGAAAATGAAGAATAGTATTTTGGTCAGTAGATACACACGTGCAATTTCCAACAACAACAGTCATTTGTACAATCCACCAACTTAGATGACAGGCCTTGACAGAACTAGGATGGGAATATGGGGTGGGCTGAAGAAGCCAGGAAATGGGTGAAATGAGCTGGGATGAGACTTTTAGCAGGGGAAACCGTATATCTCTACTTAGAAAGTTTATCATTTTTTTTTCTAAAATGGGTCAGGCAAGGGCGGAATCATGACTTTTCATAACAGGGGGCTAAAATTTACTGATAGAAGAAGTGGTCAGGATTTTTCAATACTGTAATTGGATTGAAATCTTAATATAATTTGTAAAATTTGGGTAACTTAAAAGCATGCTGCTAAAGCTGCATTTTTGCTCCAGCAATGCAAGAAGAAGACAAGCTTGCAAAGCAGCAGAATGAGGCCCTTAAAGCAAATTATAACAAGTATAACATGATAGATATAGTGTGATGGCTGATGGAAATGCTCATCATTCGCGTGTTGCAGATGACTGATAGGGTTTTCTTGAGGTTGTCCCTCCCCCAAGAAAGTTTAGTGCATTTGTATACAATAAAATATTTAGTAAATGATGTTTTCTTTTAGTAGAGCACTTCATTTGGCTTGAAAAAAAAGTTCAGTTTGGCAGTAGCCTCTTGATTTTGCAGTCATTTTATAAATAAATAAATAAATTTACTACTGGGTTTAGCTGTGTTGCATCTATAGATGAATTTTAGAGGCTTCATTGATGGACATGGATTACAGCTTGAGTGGTAACTGTGGAGCTTTCCAAACACCAAAATAGAAAGCCAATTTCCAACCCATGTCTACTTATTTTTACTGATTGAGCAGAAACAATTACTAATTGAAGAGAAGAAGATAAGTTACGGTCAACTTTATCAAACCGTTGTTATTAGCTTCATATAGAATACATAGAAAGAAAAACAAATTATGTTCGAAAACAATTATACAAATGCATGGAGAATAGAATTCCTTATTTCCTTATTTCACGTAAATTTCTTCAAGTCCTGCTAAAACAGAACTGGCCACCCTGAAGTGAAGTCCTGAGTCTAAACTAACCAATAATAGGGACCCTTGTAACAATGCCATCAGTATCGACCCAAACACGAACCCTATCGCACCGGAAATCAGCAGTGACAACCGACCCTTCTGGCACGATCTGAGCATCAACCGAAGGATTCTCCCTCTCAATTTTTGCCTCTGCAACTGTACCCTGAGCTCCCAGAAGTTCAGGCCATCTATTCTTACCTGCATATATATGAACAAAATAATAAAATCTTACAGTCTATAAACTAAAGACACCATAACAAGTAATTTAGCTTATATTAGTGGCATCTGTAATCGTACAGAAGAACTTGTTCATTACCTCGACACTCAGATGACATCCTTGCTTTCTATCTTAATATGCAAACTTTTCCTCTCTGAATAATAATCTCTCTATGTTTCTTAGCAATATTTTGCTTGTGAGGTATTGGCATCAGGAAGAGATGTATATTTATAGTGAAACATTGGAGAGATAGCTTGTGGCTGGTCATTATTGACTATTTCGATTGGATGCTTCATCGCCAAGAGATTAACTATCTGGCTAGTATGAACTTAAACATGTACGAACAATAAAGTCAGTTCTATGACGGTAATGAAATCTGGTTGTACGATTCATCACATCACCTACTTAGATGATAAGTGCTGTTGACAAAACCTGAAATACATGTAAAATAAAATTGGAAAAAGGAGGAATAGCGCTCATGTGATTTAAATAAGAATTCGTGTTTGACTGGTAAATGTAATCAACTTGAACATTATTTGAAAAAAAAAATTGTTGGGAAGCTAATAAAAAGTCATCATTTCAAATTTCGCATCTTGGTTTGGTTGATTGAACAATTTTGCTTGCTTTATAGAACAATCTAGGGTTAACTGCAAAAGTCAAACATTTTCTCCATATCTTAATTTTTCTTCTTTTGTTTCAGTTTTCAAGCAGAACAATTATATTGGACTAGTTTAAGGTCTGGCATGAGCACGAGAAGGGCTTTTGCTGCGGCTAGCTAGGCACAAAACTGTTTAACTCATCAAATTGGACCCATTGGTTTGAAACATTTAATCCCCTCTTGAAATAATCAATTTTCAGCAACTTATTTTTATAGCAGGATCAGTGCACTAGCTTTAAATCGATGAAACAGTAACATTAGCTTTTAGAATTGTTGTTTAATTATTCATAGTGTTATTTCAGTGCTTCACTGGTTTTAGTTTCAAACACAGCCAGCCCCAACTGCAATTCTGTCTTGAGACTCAAGACTAATCAAATCGTCACTTCTGTTTTGCCCCCAGAATTTTTCAGTCAAGACTTGGATTTGTGGGTTCTCAGCAAGTAATCTCAAGAGCAGGTCTTTTCTCTGTTTGAACCACAATTATTTGCCATGGGGGTGAGACTCAACCACACTTTTGTGTCTGGTGTCCTCATCGGGTCATGCAGGCGCCTATTTCAAGTACTCTAGTTTACTTGGGTGGTGAAACCTGTTAAAATATCAAATTTTTATTGTAATTTTCCCCTGAAAAATTGGCTTAAGGGTGCTCAAGAATCAATGCCATTGGCCAATGTGAGACATTTGGAGGCATGAAAATTGGCTTGCAGCACAGACAATCAATCCCATTGGCTTTATTTTACAATTATTACTAGCTAGCCTTTGTAAAGAGATTTATTTATCGCCATTTTCAATGTTTTGAAGAGTAAAGCTGTTGTACATTGAGCTTTACCTTTACTGCGGTTGAACAGAAAGAAGAAGAAAGGAGAAAGAAAACTACTGTCAACTTTATCAAACCACAAATAATGCGTGGAGTATATTACAACTCCTTATTTGCATAACATATTAATAATATGCATACGAAATCTGGGGAGACAATGGTTCCTTCCACCACCACCACAATGTTGACCGAAGATTTCTCCCTCTCAATTGTTGCCTTCGCAATGTCACCCACCCCCCCACTCCCAACAGCTCAGGAAATACGTACTTACCTGCATGTGCATTACAAGTATTAATTTAGAACTAAAAAAATAATTGTATTAATTACAGTATATATATTAAATGACATGACCATGAATATTATAAAACGATTGTTATAAGAAGTATAACATGATAGATAGTGTGATGGCTGATGGAACTGACCATCGTTTGCGCATTGCAGATGACTCACAGGGTTTTCGTGAGGTTGTCCCTCCCCAAAGAAAGTTTAGTGCATAACGATACAATATTTGGTAAAATGATGTTTGGCTGGAAAAAAATAAGTTTCAGTTTGGCAGTAGCCTCTTGATTTTGCAATCATTTTATCTTCTTTCTGTTTCCCAACTGGGTTTAGCTGTGTTGCATCTATAGATGAATTTTAGAGGCTTCATTGATGGACATGGATTAAAGATTGAGTGGTAACTGTGGAGCTTTCCAAACACCAAAATAGAAAGCCAATTTCCAACCCATGCCTACTTATTATTTTACCGGTCGAGCAGAAACAATTACTAATTGAAGAGAAGAAGATAAGTTACTGTCAACTTTATCAAACCGTTGTTATTAGCTTCATATAGAATACATAGAAAGAAAAACAAATTATGTTCGAAAACAATTATACAAATGCATGGAGAATAGAACTCCTTATTTTATTATTTCAGGTAAATTTCTTCAAACCACCCTGATTTGAAGTCCTTGGAGTCTAATTTAACCAATTCTAGGGACCCTTGTAACAATGCCATCAGTATTAACCCAAACTCGAACCCTATCGCACCGGAAATCTTTAGTGACAGGAGTCCCTTCTAGCACGATCTGAGCATCAACTGAAGAATTCTCCCTCTCAATTGTTGCTTCTGCATCAGTCCCCTGAGCTCCCAGAAGTTCAGGCCATGTATCCTTACCTGCATATATATGAACTCAAAAATTAAAACTTGCAGACTAAAGACACCATAACAAGTAATTTAGCTTATATTAGTGGCATCTGTAGTCGTACAGAAGAACTTGTTCATTACCTTGACACTCAGATGACATCCTTGCTTTCTGTTTTAATAATATGCAAACTTTTCCTCTCTGAATAAGATCTCTCTTTCTTTGCAATATTTTGTTTGTGAGGTATTGGCATCAGGAAGAGATGTATATTTATAGTCAAACATTGGAGAGATAGCTTGTTGCTGGTCATTATTGACTATTTCGATTGGATGCTTCATCGCCAAGAGATTAACTATCTCTCTAGTATGAACTTAAACATGTACGAACAATAAATTTGTTGTTGTTGTAAAAATGAAGAACTAGTACTTGGTCAAATAACAGCAATAAAGTCAGTTTTATTGACGGTAATGAAATCTGGTTGTACGATTCATCACATCACCTACTTAGATGATAAGTGCTGTTGACAAAACCTGAAATACATGTAAAATAAAATTGGAAAAATAAGGAGGAATAACGCTCATGTGATTTTTAAAAATCTGTGTTTGACTGGTACATATAATAAACTTGAACATTATTTGAAAAAAAAAATGTTGGGAGCTAAGAAAAACTCATCATTTCAAATTTCGCATCTTGGTTTGGTTGGTTGAACAATTTTGCTTGCTTTATTGATTGAGCAATCTAGGGTTGACTGCAAAAGTCAAACATTCCTCCAGAACCACAAGAATTCTTAGTTAGAATGGGATTCCAACTCAGCACCTTTCCTTTTGAGATTTTGAGAAGAGTTGCTCCATATCTTAATTTTTCTTCTTTGTTTCAGTTTTCAAATAGAACAATTATATTGGACTAGTTTAAGGTCTGGCATGAGCACGGGAAGGGCTTTTGCCGAGGCTAATATCATGCTGGAGCTAGATCGACACAAAACTGTTTAGCTCATCAAATTTGACCCTCTGATTTGAAACATTTAATAACAATCAATTTTCAGCAACTTATTTTTACAGCAGGATCAGTGCACTAGCTTTAAATTGATGAAACAGTAACATTAGCTGTATTGCATCTATAGATGAATTCATAGTGTTATTTCAGTGCTTCATTGGTTTTAGTTTCAAACACAGGCAGCCCCAAGTGAAATTCTGTTTCATCACTTGTGTTTTGCCCCCATATTTTTTCAGTCTCAAATGGATAGAACACATTTCTGTTGGAGAGGTGGTCAACATTATCAACCACGCTTCTGTGTCCGGTGTCCTCATCGGGTCATGCAGACGCCTTTTTCATGTACTCTAGTTTACTTGGGTGGTGAAACCTGTTTCCCCTTGCAGAATTAATTGGTTTAAGGGTGCTCAAGAACTCACATTCTTTTAAAGTATTCGGTTTTTCCAATGTGTGAGACATTTGGAGGCATGAAAATTGGCTTGCTGCATGCACAGAGAATCTTTCTCGTTGGCTTGGAATTCAAGTGGACCAATCATCGGTGGTTGATGAGGATTTTTTTGAGGTAGAGTTTGAATGCATTTGGTAATTAAGGTTTTCAGTTTATTTATCACCATTTTCAATGTTTTGAAGTGTTGTATATTGAGCTTTACCTTTACTGCGGTTGAACAGAAAGAAGAAGAAAGGAGAAAAAGAAAACTACTGTCAACTTTATCAAACCACTCTTATATATATTGAGCTTCACACAGAATACATTGAGATAACCAAAAAAAATTGGCTGCTTCCAACACAAATAATGCATGGAGTATATTACAACTCCTTATTTGCATAATAATTAAGTTAACCAATTACAGGAACCCTAGTAACCAAGCCATCTGTGTCGACCCAAACACGAACCCTATCAGGTACGCATACGAAATCTGCAGGGACAATGGTTCCTTCCAACACCACCTCAACTTTGACGGTAGAATTCTCCCTCTCAATTGTTGCCTCCGCAACTGTCCCCTCCACTCCCAGCAGCTCAGGCCATACATACTTACCTATTTAGAAAGAAAAAAAAAAATTGTATTAATTACATGTATATATATTAAATGACATGACCATGAATATTATAAAAGGCCTGTTATATATATCTTACCTGTGCTGCCTTGACATTGATCGGATGCCATTCTCGCTTCTTCTTCTTCTTCTTTTTTCTAAGTTTGAGCTCAGAGTTGTAGTATATATACTCCCTGGCGATTTCTCTTAAATGTATTGTGATGATGTGATGTAATGGTGTGAGAAAAGAGAAGAAATGAATGCACATTTATAGCTTGTTGGGTGTGGGTCGTCTTTATTGACTAGAACTTTGCTTGCATATCACACATTGTATAATCAATCGCCAACATTGTCCTTATCTATATTATTGATCCCGATCGGTGGCCTTAACAGTAGAAGCAAAATGAAGAATAATGTTTTGGTATACCAAACGCAGAATAGCATTTGGTCAATCAACAGTTGTATTATTTTGTCGCCCATGAAATCTGCTTTGTACGATACACGTACTTAGATGATAGGTATTGTTGACAAAATTTGGGAAAATAGTTGGGGATAACCTTATTTTATGACAACCACACCTCCGGCTGTGAAAAGCTCATGAATTTGACCCGTTAAACTGAAAACTTTTTGGAAAAATATCTTATTTTTTTTTTTTTTTTTTTTTTTTTTTTTTTTTTTGGTGATAAGACAATAGGTTGCAATTTATAATTCAAGCACAAAATGTTAAATAAAGTGTATGGGAATTCTCAGATATATTCAGATTGTATTCTTCTCCGATATATGTTGGTATTTATAAAGAAGTGTAAAGATGTGTTAATCCTAAGTACAGTAGGAAATAAATCCCTGGCTTGGACCCGCTTGCAGGAAATAATACAACATGCTTCCTCCACCGGAAAGGAAATGTGAGTGGATAGTCCTTGAATGTTAATAAATTAGCCGAAGGTATTGCGTCTCTTCCGCATCACTTGTACCAGCCAGCAAGGAAAAATCTCAGCACGAAACAGAAGCAGCAAGCGATGGCCTGGAAAACTAGAAGACAGATGCAAATCGACTTCTCCGTCATCCTGCCAAATCGTCTTAGAAAAAAGTTTACAAGCGTCCCATCATTTGTCCCAGTCAGCAGTCCAGTGCCAGGATCAAACCTAGGAAGACGATGCCGTGGACATGGAACAATGCCGGCAAGCTGGGGCAGTGACAAGAGAAAGTTCAATACTTGAGGGACAAAGAAAATCAGGAGTGTTTCACTAAAATGGCCTAAAATCCCAGCTACTGCCATCGTCATCCCAGCAAAGTATGTGTATGTATCTCCAACAAAAGTTGAAGAAGGATACCAGTTGTAAGAGAACAACGTCAACGAGGTGGCTAATAAGGGTTGGACAAGATATAGAGAGAATGCATGTGCCATCTTATACTCAGAATCTGCAGATGCTCCAATTTGCATGATATTGTGTATTAAAATAGCAGATACAATGACGACTGTCTGCCCAACTTCAAGACCATTCAAGCCAGCATGAATGTTGATGGAGTTTGTACAGAAAACCGCCAAAAGGCCCATGTATAGTTTATACATCCATCCTAGATCCAAAACCTCAAGCCCAACATATGGAACAAGAGGCTTCGGTATGATGATAGTTGTATGTCCAGCATAGGCCATCAGCAGAGGTAGAGCTGCAATGGATGGCAGTAGTAATTTCACCCTCCAAGGTACATCAAGAACATCATCTACAAATCCAAGCAATACCATAAAGCATATGGATGCTAATGCTGCATTGTACTCGACTAGCCAATTTGAATCTGCAGTGAAGTTGAAATACTGGAATAGGATTCCCAAGACCAAGAAAACAATTCCAACAACAATACCCAATGACTCAGGCACTTCGACAGTGCCCTGCGGGGTACCCTTTTTGTTAATGTCATAACCAAAGAGGTTGCGCCTGAGAACGTATCTGGAAGCCACGGGGATCATCTTAACGGTGACGAAGAACCCGGCAAGGCTGAGAGCCGCATTGATGAGAATCGATTTTCGAAGTTCATGTTCGATCTTGCAGTGATAGAAGATGAGGTAAAAGTATGGGATTGAAAAGAAGAGCGTGAGCTTGAGAATTACACCTGACTTTGGGGGTGCAATTGGCGGGTCTGTTAATGGAGGTTCTTTGGGTTTGGGTCGTGTGGTGGTCTCGTTTGGTTTGGTTTGTGCGGACGAGTCTGTTGAAGCTCGCTTTCGAGCTGCCATGGCTCTCTCTGTCTCTCAATATTGGTGTCACTGATTTGATACCATGTCAAACAAAGTGTGGGGAATTCTCAAATATATATTCAAGTATTTATAAAGAAGTATAAAGATATGTTAACCCTATACACAATGGGAAATAAATCTCAACTACAATAAGGCTAAATAGGTAAGTAATCAAAATTCTAACATAATAAGGAACATAACTCCTAACTAAATAAGGACTGACCAACACAAAGGTTACAAGATCTAGTACAAATACAGATAACCACTTAAAGTTATTATAAATATGGGATATTGGTTTGTTAATGTATAAATATGTAGACATTTGAGTGAGTTTCTTTTTCTCGGTTTTTTCTAATTTTTGAAAAGAAATATTACAGCCTTTAAAAGAAATAGTATAGCCGGTTATACTAGTTTTTTTTTTCATGTCTTTTTTCAAAGAAATAGTATAGCCGCTTGGTTTTCCTAATTTTAAAAAAATAGTATAGCCGACCGGCTATACGATGTTTTTCTACAAAAGTAAACGTAAAATACTCAAATTGAACAAAAGTACATATGTATTTTTCATATTTAATATATGTATTATTGACAAAATTTTCAATAATACACACAAAATTCACGTATTATACATATATTATTGTATACAAATAATATATATGAAATATTTTACAGTTGCCGAACTTTTAAGTTGTAATTTGCCAAAATTTTGATGAATAAAATACATTTCTTCATATAGCCGCGTGGCTATACCAAATTAATATCTATAAAAGTATAAATAACGCAACTAGGAGGGTAATTTATTTTCTAATTTTTTAAAAGAAATAGTATAGCCGTGCGGGTATGCTGTGTTTTTCCCTAATTTTCAAAAAGTGAACGTACAATACTGGTATTGAATATATACGTAATTATTTTTAAAGAAATAGTATAGCCGACCGGCTATACCCTATTTTAAAAAGAAATCGTATAGCCGAACGGCTATACTCTTTTTTCCCCAGTTTTTTAAAAAGTAGACATATAATATTCGTAATGAACATGTACGTACATATTTTTTATATTTAATACACGTATTTTTTTTTAACAAAAATGTCAATAATACACACAAAATTAACGTATTATACATATATTATTGAATACAAATATTATATAGTGGTTGAACTTTTAACTTGTAATTTGTAAAAATTTCATATAGTCATGCAGCTATACCAAATTAATATCTATAAAGTATAAATAATGCACCTAGGAGGGTCATTTTTTATCTATTATTAAGTAGAATAAACGCGCGGCTATACTATGTTTTTCCTAGTTTTTTAAAAACAAATAGTCTAGTCATCTGGCTATACGTAGTTTTGTTAATTTTGTAAAACAAATATTATCGTCGGTCGGCTATATTCTGTTTTTCCTAATTTGATGGTTTCTTTGCCTACAAACGGCATGATGTAGTGGATAAATAACTCCAAACCTAGATTGTTCTGTCGAAATGAGATCTTCAAGACTGCAGGTTCTGTCTCTTTTACAATTTGCTTACTAATGATTCTTCCTCCTCCCTAAACAGACTTCTAATGTTTCCTAAAACAACGGATGACTCTTTCCCTAATATCCCTTTATAAGAAAACAAACGGACTATGACAGACAAATGTTATAAATGTTTTGTACCAGTATCAATAGTGAAAACAATGAGACCGATACAAGATGTTGGCAATTTGCATGAATGACCTCAATAGATGAAATGGTGTCCATCAAAAGTACAACAAAGGAATCTGTATTCTTCTGTATGAGAACAACTAGACACAAAAGCATGCCAAGAATTCACCATTAATCAAAAAGCAAAACTCTCTTGCAGTTTGCAAATAAACATGCATGTCCTGCCTCAAAATTCAACTCACATATCTCAATCAATACCAGCCCCAGTGCTGCTATATGCACCAGAAATCTGAATCCTTAGAATCTCCAATTCCATATCCAACTGGAAATTCCTCTCCCTCTCATTCTCCAACTCCACCCTCAGCCTCTCAACCACTTGCCCCACCTGCTGCTCTCTGATCACCTGCCTAGATTCCGCCCTTCTCAACACGCCATACAATGTCAGAATTTTCTGCCTCTGCTCATCCAAGCTCCCTAAGAAACCCGCCAGCTTACCCAATAGTGCTTCCCTATCCAAACCACCGCCCGCATTTCCACTCAGGGCACCCACCAGGGCTTCCTCATCAACACCACCACCACCCAACAATCCCCTTGTCTCACCCACATTCTCACTATGCTCTCACGAGGGAGTTGTTCAAACTGGAAAATCAAACTAACCATCACAGCTTGAGCTCTCACGAGGGTCAGTTAAAATTGGGAAAAGGCATTAGGTTTTCTTTCAAGAAAAACAGGGAAGTGATAGCCATAAGAAATGACTACTAAGAACTTATCTGCCAGCATTGATAAAGTCCCCTTTTTTCTTTGCATTTAAAAATAAAAGATCTTTTGAGAAATTTTGCCGCCCATTATTAAAAAAAAGAAACCCTATTACAAAGCACTTCTTATAAATATAAGAGGGGGTGAACACTCAATTCATCAATCAAATAAACAAACAAAAAATCAACCAAAAGCTCACTTGAACCACAAGAGAAACCAACTTTAGATCAGAATTCCCAAAGTTCAGACTTAGAAAAATAAGTCATTCAAAACGAGATTCCTCTCGTTACAAATTTGGTTCAGCAAAAGCCAAGAACAAGTAGAGCTTGAGTTTTCACAAATATGAAAACCTCAACAAATTTTACAGTGCAGTTCCAACTCATTGAGTTCTCAAGACCAGCCACTTCTGCCTCTTCAGACTGAAGAAGCAGCAATTCTGCTCGTTCAAAAGCCTCCCAAAGCTTGAAGTAGATTAAAGCTCTGCCAAAATTGAACTTTAGGATCGATTTACAGCTGAAGCTGAGCAGTTGAAGTTGTTAACAGTCCAATCCAGCACAGACATATTCAGTCCAGCCCGGATCAGAAGCTTCTATCCAAGCAGAAATGGAATTCCAACTTTCTTTTTATCTTTCTAAAGTTGATTTTTTCCTTCCAAGTCTTGTAAAGGGCAGTTCTGCCTAAAAACAGTCATCTTAATCATCATTTATTCTGGCCAGAACTATCAATCTTATACTGTAATAAATTGTGAAGTCCTCACCAGTCTGAAGTAAGAAAAGTACTTACTTGGGAGATATTCCTCACCCAAATTCACAATCACTTGTTTAGAAATCAGTAACTTGGGGCGCAAGTTATCCATTTTAAAGAAGTCTGCTAGGATTTTCAAGGCTAGCAGTGGCACGTTCGCACACCAAAGAAAACTGACTTGTTGACCAGTCAATGGTTTTCAAGGCAGTGGGGAATTTTACCTTCCATCACAGGAGCAAAAACAAAACGGGTGAACACCATAGAAGAGCAAGTGTGTATGTTTGGGAACACGAATGGTTCGTGTCCCTAAACAAGATAAACCAAGATATCGAACACGAAAGGGGGAGGTTGCAACCAATGTATTGGGAGTTTGTACTCCTAAAAAAAGTTCGTATCATTTGAATTTCAATTTCCACTTAAATTATCAAAGAATTTTAAAAAAAATAGTCTGATATGATATTATTTGGAACAACACCAAACACAGTATAACGTAGTCATACTATTTATCCGGAACAGCACCAAACGCCGTATAATATTATGGATAAACTGTCAGTACTCTCCGAAACAAATTAATACTATTCGACAGAAATTAGTCAGTACATTCTGACGTACCAAACGATAAAAAAGAAACAAAAAAAAAAAAAAAAAAAAACAAACCAACAAACCCATCACAGTATATCTCTCTCTCTCTCTCTCTCTCTCTCTCTCTCTCTCAGACCCAAAACTCAATCCCCTCCCTTGGCCAAAACAACGGCCCCCATCCCTACCCAATCACCATTCCTCTCCAATCCAAAACCCCACCATGTACTTCTCACTCTCTCTCCTCCTTCGTTTCCACCATACCCCAAAACCCTCCCTTCCCTCACCAAAAAAAAATAAATATAAAAAAAAAAAAAAAAAAAAAAAAAAAAAAAAAAATTAAATTTTGTGGAAGATGTTAAAATTCTCCTTCTATACCAAATAATAAGCAAGGAGAACCATCTTCAATCAAGGAACAAAAAGAAAATACAAAAAATATTAAAGGAACAGGAGAATGCAACCACAAGACATGTATTTTACTTCCAGAATTTATTTGATAAGAAACAGCAATTTTGTTAAAAGAAATTTACAGAGCAAGATGGACCAGAAGTCCATCAAGAACGCATCAGCTAGAAAACAACAACCCCTTAACCCCAACTATCCCTGATAATACTCAGTTCAAAATAACTCTATCCCAGGGAAAGCTCTACCTCCTCCCTAAAATCTTCTACCTAGCTTCCAAAATAGTATCTGCCTCTCAAATAAACTATCATTCCACTCTAACAGTTCCCCAATCCGCTCTACTTGCCTTCTTAACAAAAAGACATGCCATCCCACCAGCACCTATGGAACACTCAAGAGATCACACAGAGGGAGAGGGATTGGGGATAGAGAGCCCAACAACTGCATGAACAAGTAGAATCTCCCTTGTTTAATGAAATGTTTCAAGATCAGAATCTTTTCTATGAGAAAGTAAATGCCTAAGCAAAGAATGAGGCCTTTGATTACCTAAATGGTCAACAACTTCTTGGGGTATGATGTAAATAGAAAATAGCATAGCCCCTCCTACACGGTAGGTAGATGACTAACCAAACATTGTTCGAGCCTCGATTCTTAAAGAGAAATCTCGAAAATACCAATACTTGTATAATTAAGACACTACGTCGCTATCATAACATTGATAACTATTAACATTTATAAATAATTTCTTAGTATTCCTGACCCATACTATTAAGAAAACAAACAGGGTCTTTCACTTTCATTGGATGTCATAAATATTTTGGCCCTCCGACGATAAAAACAGGGTCTTTGTGCCAGCCTGAAATCTCTGCCAATGGCTGCTATTGCTGGAATAATATTTCTAGAACGCATTGGTCACATCTGTTTGATGGTTTCTTTGCCTACAAACGGCATGATGTAGTCGAATAACTGATTATTCTGTCGAAATGTGACTGCAGGTTCTGTCTCTTTTTACTCCTCCTCCCTAAACAGACTTCTAATGTTTCCTAAAACAAAGGATGACTCTTTTCATATTCCTAAGTAACTTCTTAGCATTCGCACTCCCTAATATCCCTTTATAAGAAAACAAACGGACTCTGACAGACAAATGTTATAAATGTTTTGTATGAGTATCAATAGTGAAAACAATGAGACCGATACAAGATGTTGGCAATTTGCATGAATGACCTCAATAGATGAAATGGTGTCCATCAAAAGTACAACAAAGGAATCTGTATTCTTCTGTATGAGAACAACTAGACACAAAAGCATGCCAAGAATTCACCATTAATCAAAAAGCAAAACTCTCTTGCAGTTTGCAAATATGCATGCATGTCCTGCCTCAAAATTCAACTCACATATCTCAATCAATACCAGCCCCAGTGCTGCTATGCGCACCAGAAATCTGAATCCTTAGAATCTCCAATTCCATATCCAACTGGAAATTCCTCTCCCTCTCATTCTCCAACTCCACCCTCAGCCTCTCAATCACTTGCCCCTCCTGCTGCTCTCTGATCACCTGCCTAGATTCCGCCCTTCTCACCTTGCCATACAATGTCAGAATTTTCTGCCTCTGGTCATCCAAGCTCCCTAAGAAATCCGCCAGCTTACCCAATAGTGCTTCCCTATCCAAACCACCGCCCACATTTCCACTCAGGGCACCCACCAGGGCTTCCTCATCAACACCACCACCACCCAACAATCCCCTTGTCTCACCCACATTCTCACTATGCTCACCCACCGCCATTGCTTCCCTCTCAGCTCCTATCACACCCACATTCTCACTCTTGGCCTCCTTCCCAACCCGACCCGGTGAACTCGGATTCGACTCACTCCACTCAACTCCCCTGTCCTGGATGATGGTTTCTCCACCAAACCGAACCATTTTCACAGCAGAATCGCCTTGAGGCTCAACTGGGAAGACAGGGACGAGACCAAACTCATCCTCATTGAAATTCCACCCACTAATCCTTCTGTGCTTAGCCCTCTGCCTCGCTGAGCTACCTTCATCATCTTCCTCTTCATCCTCGTCATGCTCAGCATTAATACCCTTCTCCTTCATCAGCCCACCCAAACCCCTGGTTTTCTTGAACCTTTCCTCAACGCTGGACAAACCCAGAAGCACATACTTCACCAGAAAATCCAAGCCCCCGCAATTCTTGAAAAACGAATGCCTCAGCAACCTCTCCGCAGTGGGCCTCTTGTTCGGGTCCTGATCAAGACAACAACCCACCAAGTCCTTAAAGGCCTTAGAGAACTTCTTGCTCTTGTAATTCTTGTCCTGACGATTTTCATAATCCGAAAAGCGGAACCTCTTCATGATCTTCAAAAGCAGAGACTTTGAAGGAGGCAAGTTAGACAGAGGAGGCCCCCCACGAGACAATTCCAGAGCTGTGATACCAAAAGACCATACATCCGCCTTGCATCCGTAGCCGTTATGCGAGTGTATCACCTCAGGCGCTATCCAATACGGCGTCTCAGCAACGTCGTTTAACCGAATCGAAGACTCTCCACTCAAATTGGCCTCATAAACAGAAGCAGAAATCCCAAAGTCTGCAACTTTAACCGACCCATTGAAGTCAATCAAGATATTACCAGCCTTGATGTCTCTGTGAAGGTGCCCTTGGTCATGAAGATACGACATGGCGTTCAGTGTCTCCCTGAGGACGACGGCAATGCAGGGCTCAGGTAGGCCGTCGGGGAAAGCAGAGGAGATTATGGATTGGAGAGACCCGGCGGACATGAACGGCATGACGACCCAAAGATGACGGTCCACAGTGAAAGAACAATAGGCGCTGAGGATATTGGGGTGTGAAAGAAGAGAGAGCATCTTGGTTTCACGTAGAATGTTGTCGAATTCGGCCCGGGATTGATCGAGATCGATGGACTTGATTGCCACGATTGTGTTGTTCATCGGCAAACATATGGCTTTGTAAACAACAGCGCTGACGCCGAAGCCAATTTCATCGAGGATTTGGTACGCAGTTGAGTCCAATGGGAATTGGACTTTCTTGGGTTCCGGGTTTTCTTGGTGAGAAGAAGAAGTCGACATTGGAGAAGAAAAAAAAAGCAGAGATGTTGATGAACTGAATTGGGTTTTTCTGAATTCTGGGAAGTGGGTTTTGTTGGAGGAGATTGATGGGTTATGGAAAGAAAAAGAAAAATAAGGGTTTAAGCAGAAATCCTGAGAAAGGTTGATGAGGCGGTGAGTGTGGCTTTGGGACGATGCATGTGAGTGTTGAACAGCTCTGCTTTTAGCCTTTTAACATTCCAGAGTTGGGGGCTGAAAGCGAAGTTATTGCATGTAATTGCAATTAGTTAGGTTGGTTAAGATAATACAGTTATCTTTGATACTTGGAAGAATCTTTGATCTTTTGTGACGGTTTCTTTGTAATTGGAATTAGTTAGGTTGGTTAAGATGATACAGTTATTTGCCATGTCAGCATTTTCTTGGGAAGGAAGTCTTTTAACAATTTTTAATCCTATTATTTATGTTTTGTGATAGAATTAATCGAGTGTTAGACACTAAGGGTCCACCAAAAGTTTGATGTTATCATAATTAGTAATACTTTTGTCATAATTATAAAATAAATAAAAAACAAATTATACATTTGTTAGAATTGATGAATAATTCGAGTTTAAAATAACGTGTCATTCTTCTATAATTTGGACTTTTTTTGGGGGTAACAAGGAAAAATTTGAGTTTTTCTTAACATTAAAACGAGGAAAAATATTAAACGAAAAAAATCATTAAACTTGAAGTCAATGGTTGAAGCTTTTTCTCTTCTCTTGCCATAAGAGTGATTTTGAAAGGGCGCTCGACATGAGAGAGAGGTCATGGAGAGGCATCCTATATTGTTAATGCAATGTTGCTGTGCAGGCGGAACATGTTGGGCTTAAATTATGTTGAGTTTCTTCCATATTGGTGGGCTAGGTTCAACCCAAACTTATTGGGCTTAGCTCTGGTCATTATCAAACACAATTATTGGTGAAATCTCGTCCAAAAAGAAAAACAGGAGCTTGGAAAATCTGAGAACCTTTTCATTCTTACCGATGAAAGGATGTTTCCTAAAACCGAAGCTTTACCACCAAATCCAGAAATCCAGTGAAACTTGAGGCATCAAGTATTAACAATCAAACATTAGGTTCATGAACAATCGATCAAACCCCTTTTTTCCTATCTTGCTTGCTTCTGCACTGCCATTACAGCAACAAAAACAGCATACCTAATATTTGCATCTATTTGGGTAGCTGCAAAATATCTAACATCAACAAAAACAACAAGAACACAACTATATTGGGTAAGGAACAAAAACATAGTTAATAACGTCAGTGAGATCAGATCCAATCTGTCATATCAAAAGGAATCAGATCTACTTCGTTGCTCGTAGAAGAAACGCACTGTCTTCCATGTACATGTTAAACGAAAGAGATTGAACGGGTCCAGTACATCTCTTTATACAAAGAAACACGGCAAGGAGTAGAGAGACAGAGAGAGAGTCAGAAAGAATCTTCTGTTCTTTTCTCGGCCGTCATTTCTTTGTATAAAAAAATGGAATGAACCCTTTGATTGATTGCTTTTGAGCCTTCAATACCCTATTCCATTTGAAGGCAAAAGGTGAAGGTAACGCCGCTATAAGCTGAAGATGAGTGTACGGCTCTGCCTATCTATGGCTAGGGTTTAGGGACAGGAGATGAATGATGATGTTATGTTGATATTTATAGGCACAAAGATGCACCGCCTCTCTCTCTCTCTCCACGGAAATCAACAGTGATAAGAAAAGCCTTTACAGTGAAAGTCAAACACCTTTATATGGTGTAAAAAGCCTTTGAGACAACCAAAAACAAAAAGCCCTTGGTTCTTCGGGTGCTCAATGGTAATTTTCACAATTGGCAAACATCACTTTAGGTCTTTATAGTTTGTCAGATTTTCACTTTTGCCCATATGGTTTCAATTATGACAATTAAACCCCTATAGAGATCTAGCGATTCAATGGCATGTCCAATTCTGCGACGGAGTATGCGTTGCTAACATGAAGAGGTATTGTGGACAAAATTAAATGGAATTTAATAGAATTTGTAACGTGTCCTTGAATTGCTAGGGATTTAAAATAGAGACAAAATTTACGTAAGTAAAACCACATGAACCAAAAACGACTTTTTAGTTCTTACATTTATAATTTAACCCATTTACAAAATATAGCAAATTAGTTGGAAAAAATGGGAAACAAAACAATTCCAAGTCAATTTGGTCAGACTGCTAAAATATAAATGCGGATCCGATAAAATATCTCTAAAATATTTGATGAATATGAATTACACTATAAGGCAGAAGTATACTTATGGCCCAAACGGCTACAAGCACATTATAAGTGTTCAGGTGAAAAACTCCAAGTCAACTTGTCATCCCTTTCTATCTATATCTACAAATTACAAAGACGCGAAAAAAAAGGGTTTTAGGATTCGTGAAGGCTGCTGCTTTGGCTACATCAAATATGAGAAATTTGCAATTGCCACAACAAGATGTGCCGGCCCGCTTGGATTCTCAAAGCAAAAGGAGGCAGCGCTCTTGTTGAGTGGAGAAACGATTTGCAAAATCGAGTATAGCCGCGCGGCTGTACTTTTTGTTTTTTTTTAAAATAATTTAGAAAACACTGAGTGTATGGAAAATTAGGAAAACCCGAGAATAGCCAGTCGGCTATACTTTTTGTTTTTTTAAAACCCAGTATAACCGCGCGGTGATACTATTCAATAATAAAACTAAAGAAAAAAGGGACCCTCCTAGTTGCATTACTTTATATTTTATAGATATTAATTTGGTATAGCCGTGAGGCTATACGAATAAAATACGTACTTGTTTTATTCGGCAAAATTTTGGCAAATTACAACTTAAAAATTCGGCCACTATATAATATTTTGATGTATATTATTTGTTTTCAATAATATGTGTATAATACGTGAATTTTGTGTGTATTATTGAAAACTTTATATATAAAAAATATGTGTAGTGAATATGAAAAATATGTATGTACATGTTCATACGAATGTTTTTAAAAAATAAGGAAAAAACTGAGATAGCCGCAATACCTTTTGCTAATTTATTAACATACCATCGCTTGCTGCTGAGATTTTTACTCGGTTTTTTCTTAAAAAAAATGTTAGTATGAATTCTAAAATTGTCTGAACGTATTTGATAATCTTAGTTTGGGCCTTGGTGCTGTATCATCTTGAGAACAAACACTCTCAGTTTCACGAACATGTTTTCATTGTCTTACGTTAGTACATGCGCACACTACTTTCTTTGAAGTACCTTGAATATCTCCCCTCTTGCACTTGTTTATCTTTGGATTTACATCACACTACTATTGCAAGTAAGCTCTTGATCTTTTTGACATCAAGGTTCACGTCAAAAGCCTTTTATTTTTATCCTTTCTCAGAAGCAAAACAAAGAATTATCTAATTTGGTCTGTGGTATGTGGGAGTAACAAATCACTTTCCATACATTCTAAACTTGGGGAGTGGAGGCAATCAATCAACATGACTTGAAACATGGAGATAAATAAGGAATGTGGGACTTGGAAGTTGGAAGTTGGAAGTTGGAGCCCAAGACTTAATAAAAGGCTACTTAACCCTCCAATGCCTTCCAAATCCCAGTTTAGCTTATGGCATAACAAATTAATACTTCTGTAGCTTTTTTTATACACTCGCAAAAACAAAAACAA